ATAATTGAAGGAATAAAAAATAAATGAGAATAGTAAAATCTGTCTTATAGAAGAATTCCAAATAATGTATATAGATACTTTGCTGTCAAGGGGATGAGGAATAAATCTCCACTTCTTACACATGAGCTACATATGCTGAATTCCTTCCAGAGAACAAGATGGAAAAGGGGAAGTAATGAGTACAGTGGAGAAACTTGACAAAAACTTCTTGAACTGGATGGTTGAAGTCAACATTAACAGTGATAAGTCATGTTCATAGAATGTACCCATGGGACCAGGCACAGTGGCTTACACCTGTAATCTCACCACTTTGGGAGGCTGAGATGGGAGGATCGCTTAAGGTCAGGAGTTCAAGGTCAGCCTGACCAACATGGCTAAACCCCATCTCTACTAAAAACACAGAAATTAGCGGGGCATGGTGGCACTTACCTGTAGTCCCAGATACTTGCGAGGCTGAGGCACTAGAATCACTTGAACCAGGGAGGCGGAGGTTGCAGTAAACTGAGATCATGCCACTGCACTCCAGCCTGGGCAACAGACCAAGACTCAGTCTCAAAAAATAAAAATAAAATGTACCTTGTTATGATGTACTGAGCATAGCTCTTTTTACCTCTGTGGGTTTCTTCTCAGCAGCCCATAAACCCAGTCTAATCATGAGAAAAATATCAGACAAATTCCAATAGAGGGATATCCTAAAAAATATCAGAAGAGTACTACTAAAATTTATCAAAGTCAAAACAACAACAAAAAAAGGGAATATCTATGGAACTGTCAGAGCTGAGAGGAACCCAAGGAGAAAAGACAAGTAAAGGTACTGTGGTATCCTGGCTGAGATTCAGGAATAGAAAAAGATATTCAGTACAAACCAAGGAAATCCGAATAAACTGTGCACTTTAGTTAATAATAATGTATCCATATTGGTTCATTAATGTACCAAATGTGCTATACTAAGTTAAGATGCTCATAATATGGGAAACGTAGTAAAGGGAGTATGTGGGAACTTTCTACTATTTTCTCAATTTTTCTTTAACTATGAAGTGTTTTGTTTTAAAATAGAACTATTTAAACAAAAAAGAGCATTTATCAACCCACCAAAGAACTGCCACATCTGAAGGTTGGTGGTAGGTCAGATATGTTACCTGCTTCATCCTAAGAGATCTTTCATTCCTTCAGATTTCTCCAAATGGCATCTTTCAACAAATCTATTATGTGACATGCCTTTGTGTATATAAAAGTTTTCTTGCATGGGGGGGACCATATATTTGGTATATTTCAAGGTAGCAATATGTTTGTTGACATCCAAATTATATGAGTAATACCATGAAACTGTATTTGTTTTCTTAAAGCTGATGTTGGGTATGTTCATTTATTAATAAAAACATTGAGCATACTAGTGAATCTTCAGTGCTAGCACTCTCTAAAACTTTCCTCTAAGGTGATGAAGACCCAGAACTCTGTAGAAAAAGGTAATACAATGTTGATGACTTTAATCCATTTAACTATGATTGAATATTTTACTAAATTAATTTCTAATGCCAGGCTTTAAATTAATTTTAGAAGTAAGGAAGGGGGATATATCTGCCTGAATAACGAGAATCCTGTTTCTGAGAATAGAAGGTTGGAGACTAGGATACAAAACAACTTTTTCCTTAATATATAATTATTTTTGGGGGTAGGGGGCAGTCTTGCTGTGTCACCCAGGCTGAAGTGCCCTGGCACAATCTTGACTCACTGTAACCTCCACCTCCCAGTTTCAAGTGATTCTTCTGCCTCAGCCTCCTGAGTAGCTGGGATTAGGCACACGCCACCACGTCGAGCTAATTTTGTATTTTTAGTAGAAATGGGATTTGACCATGCTGGCCAGGCTGGTCTGAAACTCCTGACCTCAGGTGATCTGCCCACCTTGACCTCCCAAAGTGCTGGGATTACAGGCGTGAGCCACCATGCCCGGCCTATTTGCAGTGATTTGACCTTGGCCTGCTGACATTAGCTCCTTTGTCCATTACACAATTAGAATAAAGTATGCACTGTGAGCCCAGAATTGACCCCTGCCCTTGTGGAATTAAATGCTTATGAGAGAGAGGGATGAAGGACAAATGAACAAACAAAATAATTTCAAACTGTGGTATGGAACACAAAGAAAGCACACATAGACCTGATGCAGGGTATGACAGGAGAAGGGACAGAAAGTGTACCCAGTTGAGTAAGGAAATCACAGACATTCTTTGAGAAGATGACATTTAGGCAGAAACCTGCAAAATGTGAAGGAGCCCTTCATAAAAAGCTTGTGAAGAACAGCTTTCTAGGCAGAGGAATCCGCATATGCAAAGTTGATAGATACTTTCTGTGGAATGACCCTGCCATTTATTATTATAGCATCACAGCATCATTTGGTATTATGCTTCTTATACAAGACAGATATTTCCAAATAAGATACCCAGTTCTATTAAGACCATTAGTACATGTATGTGTGTGTGTATTTTTTTAAAAAAGTGCATTTTAAATTTTAAAGTATTCTGCACCTACATAATGCCCAACTTAGAATTTGTTTTTCTTCTTCTTAAAAATGTTTATAAATCTATAACAGCTATGCATATTTGTAAGGTACCTGTGATATTTTGATACAAACATGCAATGGATACTGATCAAATGAGAGTAATTGGGGTATTATTTATCAAATATTTATTATTCCTTTGTGTTGGGAACATTCCAAATCTACTCTCCTACTTATCTTGAAATACTCAGTAAATTATTGTTAACTATAGCCTCCCTGTTGTGCCACTAAATACTAGATCTTATTCTTTTAATCTAACTGTATTTTTGTACCCCGACCTAGAATTTTTTAGTAAGAAAGAAAATCTGGTAAATCAATATGATTGTATATGATAGATCAATAAATAGCTTGAATTTTACTTTCTCGCTTCTTGAATTCTGTTACTAAGATCTGAAGGATGACAACATTCTCACTGCATTAGATTCCCATTAAAGTTCTTTTTCAGAGTAACTGAAAATAGTGAAATGTATTCTGGGAATCCATTATCGAATCGAGAGATAGTTTTCCATCTGTTGGAAATGTGGTTCCCAGCCCTTTCTTTGATTCCAGGATCTTTAGATCTGTGGCTGTTCCTGTCCAGCCTCTAGAATTAGGCTTCATGGCCCATTTCTAGGGTTCCACACTCAACACTGCTCACAGCCATACACCACGCTTATTTATATATTCTAGTGATCAGAGTATTTGTGTAAATATACTTCGTTTTTTTAACTGAAGCTTTAAGGTAGCAAGCTATTGAAGAGCTGCTGATAGACTACACTAGGTTTTCACAAATGTGGCCTTCACTTATTGAAGTGTAATTCGAAACACTGTGGAATTAGTTAATAGGTAAGCAAATGCTATGACTTTATAAGAGGAGGAATAGTTAAGCTAGAAGACTCTTTTCTTTCAGATACCCGAGAAACTCTTCAGGAACATAACTTTAACATATCTACTACTTTAATGCTAGAAAACTTGATATACTAATTTAAAATCATTGATATCATGTAAATTTTCTACTTAGAGAAAACTTTATTTTCTTTTACCTTAATGGTTTTGAAATTTTACAATGATATTAAACGAAAGGCTATGCATACAGGAATATTACGGCAATTTAAAAATTATTCACATTTGAAAGCTGGAAATTTGTTTCTATTTTTAAAATGACCTCAGTAGAATTGTCTTTTTCTAAACAAAGGTATTTAAATTTTATTTCTCTTAACATAAAGATTTGGACTCAAATATAATTACCTAATTTTTATTAAATTGTTTTTCCTTCTTTCATGGACATATCACTTTAAAAAATTTTTTTAAATTGTAAACTATTTTATACATATTTTTCTATATATACAAAAACATATATCTAATATACTACTTAAAGAATAATTAAGTAAAAACACCTAAGCAGTCACCCAGCCAATATGTCAAACATTGTTCATATTTTTCATCTCTGCTGCATGTTTTCCAGTGCTTTCCCTTTATTCTTCAAAAAGTAGCAACTATCTTGCATTTTCCATTAATTATTCCTTTTTCTTTATAGTTTTATCACATGTGTATGTATCTCTAAACAATTTACATACTGTTTAGCTTGCTGGTTTTAAAATTATATATGAATGAAATCATTGTATATCTGTTCTATAAGATTGTTTACTGTTGTTCAATATGTTGAAGTTCTTTCCTTTGCTGTACATATCTACAGTTTATTGTTAAATTCCAGTACTATTCCATTTTTGGATATATTATACCCCAATTTATCGGTTATCCTTTTGATGGACATTTGAGTTGTGTTTAGTTTTTTTGTATTTTAAACAATGGTACTGAGATTTTTCTTGTACATGTCTCCTGGTGCACATTTATAGAAGTTTATACAGGTGCATGTGTGGGAGTGAGAGAGAGATATTAGGAGCCCAAAATTAATTTTTCTCAAATATTTTTAAATTAGCTGGGCTAAATTGTCAACATAAGAAGTAAAATAAATAATCAGTTCCTTTAGAAATGCTGGGAGAGATTTCATGTAATAATTATCCGTAAGTTAAAACTCACTTAGATAAAAAAAATATGCTTAATGAATTTGTTTCTACTTTTGTTCTTAATTATCTAAATAAAAAAGTTATTCATTTAATTGTATTTATTTATTGGATCATTTTATCTATCAATCTAACTAATATTTTGTTGGAACTCTGCAGATTATAAGCATTTTTGTGTACTCTGTTCCTTTTGAATTACACAAACACCAGAGGAAGTGGATATAATTGTATTATGATGATGATTATTATATGCTTTTTCTAGATGTTTAAGTTAATGACCTGTGAGGTGAACAGACTTGCCCAGATTTCAAACTCTATTGTCTCTTTGAATGTACAGTATACCATTAATATTTTATAAATACCCTCTTCTGGGTATGGTAGAAAAGACCAGTATGTCATCATTTCTTTGAAAATACTGATTAAAATTTAAATTTATTCCACAGTTCCATCTCTCTTATTCAGAGAAAGAATTGTTGGAGAGAGAGCCAAGAGGAGAAGCCCATCAGGAAGTTCTTAGGCGAGCAGCCAAGGATCTTCCCATCTATACCAGGACCATGTCTGGAGGTAAATGTCGATAATGGGTGCTTTGCAATGATATGCAAATAACATCGTTAAGGTGACTGTAAGAAAGTGTGTTTATATACTTGAAATGGTAAAAATTTCAGAATACTATGTTATTTCTTGAGTTGTTGTTAAATCTTTCCTGTATGAATCCATAAAACATAATGGGAACATGAATAACATTGTGGCAAAGAGATCTCAGGGAAATCAGAACTGACTTTAATCCTGTTCTGCCTACTTAGTTATGACTCAATAAAGGTGTGAGAACTGCTGAAATCTTCATTTATAGTAGTACTCACGTTTAAGAATTTAATTGTAGACTTTCCTATTCATATTTAATTTAAGGGGGGCAGTATCTGTAATTAATATAAAATTAATATTTTACATGTATTTTTTCATAAATTTAGAACAGGCATATAGATGATGTAAAACTTCATTTAGTTATTGGTATGATTTTTTATCTACCTTTAAAATTTTCTTACAAATGCAATAAATTAATAATCTCTTGTTTGGGACATATTTTAAGGTAATTTAACAACTATCCAATTAAACAATTGTCTTAAAACTTATGTACATGGACTAGTGATGCTTGCCCACCAAGACTTGCACAGAACTTCTGTGACTTCAGAGCTTTGCTGCCCATTATGGTAGCTGCTAGCCCCATGTGATTGTTGAGCACTTAAAATACGGCCAGTTCAAATTGAGATGTGCTCTAAGTATAAAATACACACTGGTTTCAAAGACTTAGTGTGAAAAAGTATATAAAATATCTCATTAATGGGCTGACACAGTGGCTTGTGCCCGTAATCTCAGCAGCTCGGGAGCCTCAGGTGGAAGATTTCTTGAGCTCAGGAGTTAGAAGTTACAGTGAGTTGTGATTGCACCACTGAACTGCTGCCTGGACGACAGAGTGAGACCCTGTCTCTAAAAAATAAATTAAAAAAAAATTTTAAACTCGTTAAGATTTTTGACTGGGTGTGGTGACTCATGTCTGTAATCCCAGCACTTTGGGAGGCTGAGGTGGGCAATCACCTGAGGTCAGTAGTTCGAGACCATTCTGGATAATATAGTGAAAACCCATCTCTACTAAAAATACAAAAAAATCAGCCAGGCGTGGTGGCAGATACCTGTAGTCCCAGCTACTCGGAAGGCTGAGGTGGGAGAATTGCTTGAACCCAGGAGGCAGAGGCTACAGTGACCTGAGATGACATCACTGTACTCCAGCCTAGGCGACAGTGAGACTTCATCTCAAAAAAAAATAAAGATTTTTTATTACTAATATTTGTTTCTGACTCACTTTAGAATCATAATTGAATCTAACTCTAACACATAATTTTTATCCTGTTTATTTTCACTAGTTTTTGATCATCAAGTGGTAGTTTCTTGGTTAATATGACATGGTTTTATCCTACAAAGACAGAGATGTGCTTATATATGTTTAGGTATACTTACCTTGTAAGTCTAAACAAATACTGAGGAAATTTAAGCCCCCCATAAATAAATTATTGCTGAGTTTCCAAAGCTAGTGACAGTAAACGGCACATAATCTGGTGTTCTTATTCCTAGTCTAATTTAAAACTTTTTTTGATAAATAGCAAAGTACAGGAAATCAATTGGTTTAATTGAGGGAGACATTCTATTTATTTTGATTAAAATGGACATGTTTGTACCCTTTGTGAGCCTTATTATAACTACTGACAATTGAAAAAGCATTAAAAAACTTTCCTTGGGAGATTCTTTGTTCTTGTTAAACCTCCAGAGAACTATGGCTGTAGGCAAGTCCTTCCATTTTTGCATTCAAACAGCATCAAATATCTTATTTTTTACCAAATTTAAATTTTATATGTGTTTTAAAATTTAAATTTGGAGAGATGATAAAACCCATTTAATTTCATATTCAATTCAGTGTTAACTCTAAAACTAAGTGGAGCTTTTTGTCCCTAGCAATCCGATATTGTGACAGATGCCAACTTATAAAACCAGATCGCTGCCATCACTGTTCCGTCTGTGATAAGTAAGAGAACCTTTAACTTCTAAAATATCTACATGCTGGTGGTCTTTTTCTTCATTATGTTTCTTTTCTCACTGCTTTCCTGATTATCTTCTTTTCTTCATATTCTTGCTTCTCAGCCCTTTATTTAGGAAATATAGTTGGTATAACCCACTTGCATTCATACCAGTGTGGCTTAAGGTCACAGTCAACTGTCAGTTTTTCCCCAGATTCACTATGCGATGAAGTACATGATTTTTAGCAGTTCTGACTTGGCTAGTTCGATTTAGGAAATAGGTCTATGAGTGTTTTTCATTTTTATAAAGATAACTCAGTTGACTTCATGACAGTCAGATGTTGTTATATTTAATATATTCCAAAGGCAGTATTACTTGGCTTAAGGATTGATGCTGAAGGAGAAGTTTTATCCAGACCTTCTGTAAATCTATTGCAGTTTTGTACTTTCTTTAGCATAAGATAATTGTATATTAGTACATTGTACTGTTTTTAGAAAATAAGTTGCTTTGCATCTTAAGCATGTGTATTTTGAATTAAAGTTATATTATTATAATGAATTGGATTTAGTGTTTATTTTACGTGAGAACTTCTGCCATTATCCAATTCTTAGATAAGTAAATAATTTGCAATATTTTACTTGCCACAACTCTTTGAACTAACCATAATTTATATTTTATTTTATAATTTAATATTATTGTAATTTCATGGGGTATTGGGTTTTGTGTTTTACTTTGTTTTTTAGATGTATTTTGAAGATGGATCATCATTGCCCATGGTGAGTGTGGCTCTATTCTTAAACAAGTTTGTGTCCCTTATAAATGCTAATAAATTGAATCATTGATCCATGTAAATTTTATCATAAATTAAATATAACTTTAGTCAATACAGGAGGAACTTTCAGATTTAGTTTCTAATATTTGTTTAATTAACTTAAAAGAGACTTTATTTAGGGGAGTTTCCATGAAATACTTTTAAAACCAGTAGGTTAACAATATAAACGTTAATATCGCATGTTAGCCCAGAACAAAGTGTTTTCTTTGGATGCATGTGCATAAATATAGAGATTCCAAAATACGTCACAGAAATATACACAAAGATGTACATGTAAATTATACATAGTACCTCACTGGAAGGTGCTAATAAAGAATTAAGTCATCTAAAGCTTTAACAATTATTTTACACAAAACTTAAGGAGTAGAAAAGCAACTACACAAATACACAAATGCACAGATAAGTTTAAAAAAAAGTTCCCACTTAGAATTCATTAGTATTTGCTAGTATTTATAAGTCCCAAAATTAGGTAACTTAATAGAGGATTCTTTGAAATATCTGAATAGTAAGGTTAATTTTCCTTCCTTTCCCTCATCTTGGTGTATACATGTCTCTGACTGTCATGCCCCAATTGCTGGCTGGGTTGGATTTGGGCATGAGTAATACTTATTCTTCAAGCCTTCTTCCAGGGATGACCCTACAGAAAGGTAGACATCCCCACAAGTCCACAGTAGGTACGAGGTGAAATATATGTAGGGAATGGTTCTCTTTGCAGCAGGAAAGATTCCTAGGGAAATGTATAGATGACCGTATCCTGTATCTCTCACCAGTATACCCCTTTCTTTTCTCCACCTTGATTTTCTTCTTTAAAGCCGTCAAGCTAGTAAACTCCTATGAGAATGGCATTTTTGGGTCAGGTGCGGTGGCTCACGCTTGTAATCCAAGCCCTTTGGAAGGCCAAGGTGGGCAGATCATGGTGAGGTCAGGAGATTGAAACCATCCTGGTGATACAGTGAAACCCCATCTCTACTAAAAATACAAAAAAATTAGCTGGGTGTGGTGGCACATGCCTGTAATTCTTGATACTCTTGAGGCTGAAGCAAGAGAATTGCTTCAACCTGGGAGGCGGAGGTTTGCCATTTTAGTATTTTTTCTAAATCAAGAGTTAATTTGGCCCCATGAGAAACTTAACAATTTGATAGACTTTCCAGTTTTCACAGATCCTGTTAAATAAGTGAAGGAAAACAACAGAAATGAGACCCTATAATTTTTGAAAATAGATTCACGTGGCATAACTACGTGCTGTTGCTCCGCCTTTAGGTGGCAGTGTGAGAAGGTGAATGAACTGACTGATAGATACCTTTAATGTCTATGTCAAGTTGTTCACTTCCCCATCACTTCCGTTGCTGAATCCACTGTCCTCGCCACTATCGTAGCTCTGGGTACTCCCTTGCAGAAAGCAGCAGTCATGTTGACTTGTGCAGGATTTGATGCCAAGGGCCTAATACTCACTTGGTGCTAGCTGAATGAAGCAGCCATCATATTTAATTTTTTCATTTCAAATTAAAATTTTAAATTAAAAAGTCTATAGCTAATAGCATGCTTTTGGTTCCAAATTCAAAAATAAAGCAGGTGGACATGTTCTTCCCAGTCCTTCTCTCCACCTTCTTCCCCTAAACACAGAGAACCAGTGTTGTTAATGCGATGGCACTTCTCAGATATCAATATGTGTGTGTGTGTGTGTATGTGTGTGTGTGTGTGTGTGTATGTGTGCATAGCCTCCATACCCCCCCTTTCTTTTTAGTAGAAGTAACTACACTTTTGACTGAATCTGTTTCTTTTTATTTTCTTCACTTGATATTTCCTGGAAATGTTTCCATATGAATACATAGAAAGTCTTTTTCTGCAGGCTTGGTGTGAACATATTAGTCTAATTAACAGTCACTTATTTAAAAACTTCTAGGATGTTCTCAGACCTGGTGGCAACCTTTTTATATGGGTAATTTAAACAGGTCTCTTGAACCTTAACATCTGTCACCTTTGAACATTTGAAACATTAGATCAACAATACCTCTTTATTTTTCAATGACTTCTCAATCTCTCCTCTGCCACTTAAGATTACCAACCAGAATTCTGGGGTTCAATGTCATACTATGTTTTAACTAAAACAGATTTTATACTATTTGATTTATTGGGTTTTCTATCAAAGTGTTTTATTCCTTTACTATAAAATTTTAGTTAATTAAGTATATAATATTAATAATATGTTCACATGCTTGCCAAAGATTAGGTAACACAAATAAAAGCAAACTATTTGAGCTTTGATTTATTGAGTGCCAATTATGTTCTAGAGGCCATGCATATAATCTGTAACACTTTTAACAGTGACAGAAAGAAGTAGAAATTATTTGTCTCATTTTAAAGGGGAAAAAAATGAGGCTCAGAAAAGAGAAAGAGTGGGCTCAAAGTCACAAAGGAAATTTTTTTTGGACTTCAGGGGCCACACTTCTTCCAATATATTATGTCCTTTTTCCAATTTAAAGTCAGAAAGCAATTTCCCAGAAACAGAGCCAATAGCTGTGTTTTACACAGAACTTAAACAACATAAGAAGGATGTTTACCTAGAACATGTTTTGTTTCTCCATATGAAATCATTAGCTAATTCTGCATGGGTGTTGTATCACATTGACACAAGGTCATTCAGTAATGCCCTTGTCTTTATAAAAAGGAAATTAAAAACTTCGATAGAAAGAAAGTGAGCCTTTAAGTTGGAGGTAAATGATGAGAACATATGGACACAGAAGAGGGAACAACACACACTGGGGCCTTTTGGAGGGAGGAGGGTGGAAAGAAGGGGACTAAGAGAAACAACTAATGGGTACTAGGCTTAATGCCTGGGTGATGAAATAATCTATACCACAAACCCCTGTGACTCAAGTTCACCTGTGTAACAAACCTGCACTTGTATCCCAAAACTTTAAGTAAAATTGAATATAAACAAATAATGTTTAAAAGGAAAATCTTTAAGAGAAAGAAAATGAGCTTAAAAATGAATTGTATTTGTACTTGTTTATTGATATGATAGTTTGAGTAATCTCCCACTCACTTTGGAGTGAGAACTGAGATTTATAAATTTCCATATTTGGAATTATAGCCTATTTAGAGCTGAATTTTGGAAATGACCTCAGAGTGCTTATCTTATAGATAAAGAAAATGAAATTCTTCTTTTTTTTTTCTTTTTGAGACTGAGTTTTGCTTTGTTGCCAGGCTGGAGTGCAGTGGTGTGATCTTGGCTCACTGCATCCTCTGCCTACTGGGTTCAAGCAATTCTCTTGCTTCAGCCTCCCTAGTAGCTGGGACTACAGACATGCGTCACCATGCCCAGCTAATTTTTGTATTTTTAGTAAAGATGAGATTTCACCAGGCTGGGACAGGATGGGCCAGGATGGTCTCAATCTCTTAATGTCGTGATCCGCCCACCTTGGCCTCCCAAAGTGCTAGGATTACAGACGTGAGCCACCTTGCCCAGCCACGAAAATGAAATTCTAACAGATGATTTCACTTTCTCCGGCCACAGCATTATTTAGTGTCAAATGGGCATTCTGACCCAGCTGTCTTAACGGCCATTCCTACTTCTTTTCTTAAAGTTCCCATTTAATAGACGTTGGCAGTCTGCTTGCTTCAGTGATGCCATGCAGAGAATAATTTGTGAAAAATTTCATTTAATTTGGGAACACTTGAAAGATTTTAACTTAATTAATCATAGTTGAAAATCAAACCCAAAGATAGCATAGAGGAAGGGTTTAGTAAATTCACCTAATCTGCCTGGCCGGATTAGGGTCTCACAGGCTCTGTGCTTTGAGGAATGCATATAATTGCATAATTTGACATTACATGCAGTTACATTGCTTATGACTGATTAAAGAAATATTAGATATCATGTTTTGTAAATATAAACATGTTTTTTAGTGAAATAGATTTTAAATGATTGTATGCTTAAAGAAATCATGAGTCATATTTAAAGAAATGCCAATAAATTAAAAGTGAGAGGAAGCTAAACGCTTCCTTGAGCATATGCAAATGTAGGTTGAAGATGTAAACCTCATTGGAAATGTTTTTGTTTTATTTACAGGGTGAACAATTGTGTTGGATTTTCAAATTACAAGTTCTTCCTCCTTTTCTTGGCTTATTCTCTGCTCTACTGCCTTTTTATTGCAGCAACAGATTTACAGTATTTTATCAAATTTTGGACAGTAAGTCATTAACTTGGTAACTTTTTTAGTATACAAAAATAGATAATACAGACTTTTCAGGACAGAATTATTTCAGACACTGATTTTATAGACTAGAGCTCATTGACATGCAGTTAGTCTTCATTATTCAGCAGATTCTGTATTTGTTAATTAACTTACTAAAATGTAGTTGTAACCCCCACATCAGTACTGACAGCTTTCATGGTCATCTGCAGACCTGTGCAGAGTGGCAAAAACATTGAGTTGCCCCGGTGCCCGTTCCCAGTTGAGGTTGAACAAGACGATGCTTTTGCCTTCTTGCTTCAGCTCTCATACTGTAAACAAGTGTGCTTTCCACAGTCTATTTAGTGCCATGTTTTTTTTTTTTTGCATTTTTGTGCTTTTTGTTGGTGATTTTGCTGTCAAAAAAAGGTCTTCAAGTGTAGTGCTAAAGTGTGTTCTAGTGTTTCTAAACTAGTTTTCTTTAAACTGATGGGACTTGTGGAGAAAATACATGTGTTAGATAAGCTTAATTCAGGCACGAGTTATAGTACTGTTAGCTATGAGTTGTATATTAACAAATCAATACTGTATATTAAATAAGGTCTATTTAAGCAGAAACACACATGAAACAAGGTTATACATTCGTCAGTTGTCAAAGATGCTTTGACCAGAAGTTCATGGAAACCTAACCCTGCATTTTCCCTAGGAGCAGTGGTTCATTATTCACACATTCAGTGTTTGTGGCAACTTTATAAAACTTTATAGTACTGCGAATAACGAGAATTGATGACTCTATAAGATTTTTTTCAGTATTTAAAAATATAAGTATTTTCCTTATGTTTAAGAAGATTACTTTTAAACTGTTATGGCTATAATGTCCTTATGCCTATAATGTCCTGAGTTTTTATTCAGTACTGCTTGATTAGCTTTAAACACTATATATTTTTAATGTAGGCAAAAATAAATCAAAATTGAGGATTTAAAATATCCAGAGTTTCTCCTTGTGAACACCAAATGACAGTAAAAAGCAGTTTATTTGCTGCCAGGATTGATTTATTGTTTTCATTAAATTGTCTTTATTATGAATTTCTAAATTGCTAGGTCACTTATGTGAGATTTGAACCAAATTTAATTCCAAAGAGTTATTGAATGCCTACTACATGCCAGTTATCTTGCTAAGCATAGAAGGACATGGTGAAGAGACCTGCTGCTAGCCCTCAAGGATTCGTTCAGAGTTTAGCTTAAAAAATGATCCCTAAAGAATGTCTAGAACATTACCTCACTGCTCCTCATTCTTGTGGATGATTTTAGTTTCAAACCACAAATATATTTGAAAAGGAACAACCAAAATTTTCACTGTGTATCAAAAACTACTGTTGCTGTCGAAAACTATCAGTGAGGTCTTGTGACCTGTATCAATCTGTCAGATACTACAGGGTATTAAAACATGAGGACAGTTTATCAGAAGAGCCACCTCCTGGCAGCCACGGTGTTTCACTACGTGTCCATAGCCCCAGTCCCTCCATTCTAGAGCCCTTCAGGTCTCTTTGGCATTATAAACAATGAGAGTGTAATGGGTTTTCTTTGAGATGGACTGTTTCAGCCCATGGATATTAAGATTTATTTTAGACAGGTGTTATGCACTGGTGTTGATCTTTTCTGTGGTGCCATTATTTAAGATAGATTGAAGCATTATTGTGAGTGTGTTGTTACATGTATTCATTTAGTTGATGCTGTTGTTTGTAGTAATTAATATAAAACATCAATAAGAATAGTAGCCAAATTGTGCCAGTTAACCTTCATTTTCTGGCATTATAATAAAACTGTTTAAACATTTGTGAATCTGTAGTATGTTAACAAAACATATTCAGGTAATAAATTTAAAACTACATTTTATAGTTCCATTTAGTTTACTTCCTACTATTACAGTTTATACATATACTGCCATAAATTTTCTGTGATTTAGTTACAAAAAACATTCTAAATTTTAATATAATTTTCATATATATTCATATTCTAGTAAACATTTAATCTGATGAAATATATACGTATTTTTCCTAAAGTTTTAACATAAAGCCACATATCTTTTTTCATGTCTGGATTTAAGAAAATTTTTAAGCAAAAACTTACTAATTTACTTATAAAATAGGGGAATACATATCCCTTTGACAAAACATTTTATTTTCTTCCTTTCTTTATAGAATGGTCTACCTGATACTCAAGCCAAGTTCCATATTATGTTTTTATTCTTTGCTGCAGCTATGTTTTCTGTCAGCTTGTCTTCTCTGTTTGGCTATCATTGTTGGCTAGTCAGCAAAAATAAATCTACATTAGGTGAGTATCCAATTATTGTAGTTGAGAGAACTTTAAATACATATACCAACATTCACTGACAGTTGCTATGTGATTAAATGCCAGCCTGTCCTGAAATGGTAAAAATCATTCGTATTTCCCTCATTTGTTTTAATATGTCACTTACACACATGCAGCTTTGCTCATTCCATATATTTATTGATCGTCTCTTATATATATATACAGTAGTGAACAGGGGCAAAACAGTCTAGTTAGGAGCACAAAAATTAATAACCAAACATTAAAGTGATTACAAAATGCAAAGTGCTTCGAAGAAAATAAGTAGGATGCTGAGCTATGCATAAAAGGCTGGGGATGGTGGAAGAGAGCCTATGTAGAATGAGTGATCAGGGGAGAACTTATCAGAACAAAAAGTACTTAACCTAAGAAGTCAGCTCTAGGAAAAAAGCCATAGCATCTATGTTTGAAAGCCATACAGATATCAGACACAGCAAAAGCAGTGCTTAGAGGGCCAATGCATAGCTGAAATACCTATATTAAAAAAAGAAATACCTCTGTTGATAACATCATACCTTAAGGAACTAGAAAAAAAGCAAAGTAAAACCAAAGCCAGCTGAAGAAAGGAAATAATAAAGATAGGAGATGGTACAGATAGAGAATTAAAAAATAGAAAACAATAAAATCAATAGTGGATTCTTTTAAAAAAATATCAACAAATATGACATCCCTTGGCTAGCAAGAGAAAAAGAGATTTATCACAAAACTCCGAAATGAAAGTGAGGACATTACTACTGACTTTATGGAAATAAAAAGGCTAAGAAAATGCTATGAACTACTTTCTGTCAAAAAATTAGGCAACCTAGATAAAGTGGACAAATTTCCAGAAATACACAAACTATCAAATTAACTCAAGAAGAAATAGAAAGTCAGAGCAGATCCTGTAAGAAATAAAGTGATTGATCAGTAATCAAAAAAACCGCACAACAAAGAGAAAAGCCCAGAACATAATGGCTTAACTGATGAATTCTGTGAAACACTTAAAGAAGAATTAACTTCTCAAACTCTGCTAAACATTAGAAGAGAAGGGGATACTTTCTAACTGATTCTATGAGGCCAACATTACCCTTATACCAAAGTCAGAGACAAAGACATCACAAGAAAACTAGAGACCAATATGAATATAAATGGAATGATTGTTAACAAAATATTAGCATACTGAATCCATAAACACATTAAAAGGATAAAACACAGCCATGATCAAGAGGAATTTTTCCCGGGAATGCAAGAGTGGTTCAGTATATGAAAATCCATCAGTGGTAATATACCACATTAATAGAATGAAGGAAAAATACACATGATCATCTTAATTAATGCAAAAAAAGTAATTAACAAAATCCAACATTATTTTATGATTAAGAAAAATTGCACTTAAACTAAGAAAACAAAGGAACTCCTTCAACTTGAAGAGGAGATAAAGGGCATTTGTGAGACTTCTACACCTAACATCATACACAATAGTGTTAAAACCGAAAGCCTTTTTTCTAAGATCAGAGATTAGAAACACCAAGGATGCCCCTTTTCACTACTCCTTTTCAACATTGTACATAAGTTCTAGCCAGAGTAATTAGTCAAAGAAATAAAGGTATCCAAAAGAAATAAGTAAAACTATTTTAATTTATGGATAACGTGATCTTATGTATAGAAAACCCTAAGGAAGTCATAATAAAAATGATTAATAAGCAAAATATGAAAGTTGCTTGATTTAGAATCAGTATGGGGAAAATCATTTATATTTCTGTACACTTAGCAATAAACTATCCAAAAAGGAAATTAAGAAAACCCCATTTGAAAAGGCATCCAAACAAATAAAATACCTAGAAATAAATTTACCAAGGAGGTGCATGCAACACGAATAATACACTGAAAACTCAAAACATTGCTGAACAAATTAAAGAAGACTTCCAATGTTCATAGGCTTCAAGACCTTATATTGTTAAGATGGCAATAATACCCAAAGTGTATTTACAGTGACATTTTAAAGGCTTTTGTTTTGCATAAATGGAAAAGCCAATTCTCAAGTTCATGTGGAATTGCAAGAGGCCCCACGTAATTAAAACAATATTCACCAGAAAAAGAACAAACTTGGAAGACTTACATTCTTGATTTCAAAACTTGCTATAAAACATTCAGTGATCAAAACAGTGTGGTGCTGGCATAAGGATGGATGTACAGATAAATAGAATAGAATTGAGAGTCCAGAAATGAACCCATACATCTTTAGCCAACTGATTTTTAACAAGGGTGCCAAAACCATCCAATGTGGAAAGAATAATATCTTTTTTTTTTGAGACGGAGTTTTGCTCTTTTTACCCAGGCTGGAGTGCAATGGCGCGATCTCGGATCACAGCAACCTCCGCCTCCTGGGTTCGGGCAATTGTCCTGCCTCAGCCTCCCGAGTAGCTGGGATTACAGGCACGTGCCACCATGCCAGCTAATTTTTTGTATTTTTTTAGTAGAGACGGGGTTTCACCATGTTGACCAGGATGGTCTCGATCTCTTGACCTCGTGATCCACCCGCCTCGGCCTCCCAAGAATAATATCTTTGAGTTGCGTGAGAACAACTCAGTATCCATATGGCAAAAAAAAAGAAAAAAAAAAAAAACTTGCACCTCTACCTCTACCATTCACAAATATTAAGTCAAAATGGATCAATGACCTAAATGAAAGAGCTAAAATTGTAAACTCTTAGAAAAAAAATAGAGGGATAAATCTTTAGGACTTTGAATATGACAATGAATTCTTAGATATAACATCAAAAGCATGAGCAACAAAGAAAAAATAGGTAACTTAGATTATCAAAATTAAAAATCTACATGCATTAAAATACACAGTAAAAAGATAATCTGCAGAAAAAGAAGAATATTTCCATCCAATTCATTATCTGATAAGGGCCTACTATCCAGAATATGCAAAGAAATCTTATAACTCAACAACAAAAAGATACAAACACCCAAGTTAAAACATTGGCAAAGAATTTGAATAGACATTTAAACAAACCTTCCTCCAAAGAAAATATATAAATGGGGAAAATAAAATTTTAGGTTTTTCGTTTCAGCATTATTCAAAGAGAATATTTAGTATTATGGAAGGAATGTTGATGACCTTGTTCAAGACTCACTCTGTCATTTACTTATTGTGTGGTAAATCCCAGTACAGAAAAATAGGCTCAACATCATTAGTCATTAGGAAAGTGCAAATCAAAACCACATCGGGGTACCACTTTACACTCGCTAGGATGGCTACAATTAAAAATAAGGTCTTGGTGAGGATGTAGAGAAATTGAAACCATCCTACGTTGCTGGTGGGAATATAAAATGGTGGGACCTGGTGAAAAATAGTTTGGCAATTCTTTTAAAAGTTAAACATAGGGGACTCCATGTTTGGGTCCCCTTCCACGAACACTCCCTTTGTGGAAGCTGTTTTTCTCTCTCCTGGATTTCCCCTCTGGAGTCCCCTTCCACACTCCCTCGTGAAAGCCTGTCTTCCCCTCCTAAACTCCATCTCTCTCTATTCCCTTCCACTCAGTGTGGAAGCTGCATTCCTCTCCTGGATTCCATCTTTCTCGATTCTCTCACTCGGTGTGAGAGTTAGCTGTTTCTTTCTCTTTTCTTCTCCTGTTTCTCTCTCCTTAAATAAATCACTTTCTATGAAAAAAAAAAAGTTAGAATTACCATATGAACAAGCAGCTCCACTCCTGGGTATATACCCAAATAGAATTGAAAATAGGACTGAAAGAGATACTTGTATACCGCTGTTCATAGCAGCACTATTCAAAACAATCTACCCCTTTTTTTTTTTGAGACAGAGTTTCGCTCTTGTTACCCAGGCTAGAGTGCAATGGCGCGATCTCGTCTCACCGCAACCTCCGCCTCCTGGGTTCAGGCAATTCTCCTGCCTCAGCCTCCCGAGTGGCTGGGATTACAGGCACGTGCCACCATGCCCAGCTAATTTTTTGTATTTTTAGTAGAGACGGGGTTTCACCATTTTGACCAGGATGGTCTCGATCTCCTGACCTCGTGATCCACCCGCCTCGGCCTCCCAAAGTGCTGGGATTACAGGCTTGAGCCACCGCGCCCGGCCTAAATGCCCATCTAAGGATGTAGAAAATATGGCATATCTATAAAATGGAATATTAACCGTACAAAGGAACGAAGTCCTGATACATACTACATATATGTCATATGTAGTAGGAACCTTGAAAACATGCTAAGTGAAAGAAGCCAATCACAAAAGATTATATACTATATTCTCATTTTTATGAAATATCCAAAATAGATCCATAGAGAAAAATCACATTAGTGATTACTAGGGAATGAGAAGACAGGGGAGTAGGGGGAGTGACTGCTTAATGGATATGGAGTTTCTTTTGGAGTGATTAAAATAGTTAGACATTTCATATTGGTGACAAGTTGCATAAAATCATGAATATATTACTTTCTGTTGAATTGTCCACTTTAAAAAGGCTAATTTTACATTCTGTGAATTTCACCTCAATTGCAAATAAAAGGTCCTACAGGAAAAAAGAAAAAAAACTAGGAATATTTGAGAAACACGCCATGTGGCTGAAGCATAGGAAGCTTAAGTTGAGAAATATATTAATGAGGTTTGAGACGTAAGCAAGGACTAAGCTATGTAGAGTTTCTAGGCTAAGGTTAGGAGTTTCAGAATGTAACCAGTACTACAAATGCTTATGATCATAAAGGACACTCCAAGCTGCGAGCTTCAGTTATTATAATATGCAGTGAGGATTAATTATAGTGAATAGACAATTAATGTTCATTTTCAGAATTCTGAAATGAATCATTACGTTACAGAATTCTGAAATGAAATCATGACACCAAATACTATTAGGGTGAAAATATTGGTAAAATAAAGTAATTTCTAAGCCTGGGAATCTTATTTCAAATTATAATTCTCAAAAGTAAATTAATTGTTTCTAGAAGTTTTTAACTTCTGGAAACTTCTAGATTTAACTTGTAGCACTGAAAGTACTTCCCCTGGATAATATGGTTCGCTGAAATGTTTTAGAAAAAATTATATATCCCAGAATGAAGAATGCTAAGGATCTTGCAAATGACCACATTTTTTTTCATAGTGCCTAACTCTGCTAGTTAGATTTTTTTTAATATAATGGATAAAAATCATGTATTTCCATGTTCATACTCCAAAAATAAAATTTTAGATTTTGCATTTCAGCATGATGCAAGAAAAAAAATGTATTTTTGAAGGAATGTTAATGACCTTCTTCAAGTCTCACTCTGTCATTTATTTTTTGTGTGACCTTAGGCAAGTCCAAGAGCCTCTCTGAACCAGCTTTCATATGCAGAATGGCCAGATGCAGTACATGGTTCTGCACTGGATCCTGGTTTGGACAAACTAGATTTAAAGTACATTTTATAGTCAGTTGGAAACATTTTATTAGCCAAGAAGCAATTTCAGTGAAATTGGAAAATGCTTTGCCAGGCATGGTGGCATGGCACCTGTAGCCCCAGCTACTTGGGAAAGTGAGGCAGAAGAATCACTTGAGCCCAGGAATTGAAGGCTACAGTGAGCTGTGATACCACTGTACTCCACCCTGGGCAACAGAGTGAAACTCACTCAGGAAAAAAAAAAAAGGAAAATGGATTTACTTAAAAACAAAGGTTGTAGAATGAATGTGAAGAATAGTCTCTCTTTTTTTTAAACCCTGGAGATATGTGTATGTATATCTGTGGATCCATTCATTTATCTGTTGACCAAAAGATCCAGAAGACCAGAAAATGCAGTTTTAATGAGTTTGCTAGTTTGTATTTTCTAATTTTCTATGATGCACATGTACTGTTATAATAAAAAGGGTTTATTTTAAAATTAAAATAGATATATCCTACGATATTTTAAAACAGAATGGACAACCTATATTTCAGGGCTGTTGATAGGTACATAAGCACTCACAGTCAGCTAGCCATTGATTTTCAGAGTTTCTTCATTTAATTATTGCTAAATATTCATGATTACTAGTAAATATGTTCTTTACTCACGTGATTGCTTTACCATGTTTTGTAGAGGCATTCAGAAGTCCAGTATTTCGACATGGAACAGATAAGAATGGATTCAGCTTGGGTTTCAGTAAAAACATGCGGCAAGTTTTTGGTGATGAGAAGAAGTACTGGTTGCTACCCATTTTTTCAAGGTACTTTTTTTGTGAAAATTTTCAGGCTTTAAACTAATGAAAGTAATGTGGCAAAAGATAATTTCAGGAAGAGAGTCTAGTTCCATAGGCTTGTAATTCTATGTAGGAACTCTTGTTTTTTAGAAGTATGATTCACTACACTATCAATGTGAAAATTAGTTAATTCATCTTCCTAATCACTATGTTGAAGCCAATGTCTGATACACATTTTTTTGCCTATAATATACCATGTTCTGCTCTCAGACATGAGCATTTTAACAAGGATTCACCCTGTTTTCTTTTGTTCCATTCTAAGTTTTTATTTTAATTCTAGTCTAGGTGATGGCTGCTCCTTTCCAACTTGCCTTGTTAACCAGGATCCTGAACAACCATCTACTCCCGCAGGGCTGAATTCCACAGCAAAAAAGTAATCTCATATTTTTCTTTTCATCTTACTTATAAATAATATACCATATTGTGTCTTTTGGTTATATGTTCCTTTGAAAAAAAATTAAGAACGTAAGAAAATTCACTGCAATGGTTTCTACCTGAAATGAGGGAAAAAAGAAAGTATGATTGAAGAAGGATACATTGGGAACTTCAATTATACTTGTAAAATGCTGTTATTAATCTAAGTGACAAGTAAAAAGGTATTCTCTATACATCAGGTAGGCAGACAGGGTAATATTGACGCTGACCTGCCATGTCTTTCCTTTCTGTGATAACTGTTACAGAGAGTAAAGAAATCAGGCTTTTGGAGATCAAATGGATCCCCTGACACCTTCTTGACAATTTCATTAGAATGTATATTATGGCCTTATTGCTCTTGAAAGACCTCTGGGGATTATCTGAGCCATTTCTCTAGAGAGAGAAGCCAAGAAACTTGGAAATTCATTGTCTGGAGACTTTTGTTCCAGTTTTAAGTTTGTTTGATTCCAGACTATCAAGAATTTGAGGATGGCCACTGAAAGACTGACATTTGATTCTGAACTTGCTACTAACTGGCAAAAGGAAAAATACTACTTAAACTTTTAAAATGCTATGTATGAATTTTTAATGGTTTGAAATATCAATGTTTATATTTTTGTGACACATTTGAGTACAACCGTTCCTCTGATTTTTAAATGAAAGCCAACAGCAAAAGCACAACCATAATATCATTCTTTATTAAATGTTAGAGCTTTACTTAGTTGCTGCAGTGCCGCACACACAAGGCCCACACCAACACTCCATATTGAACATTTCTCATTGATCACAGTACCTTTTCCTAGGGAGCCTGGAGTGACCCCATAAACCTCAAAGCAGTGTTCCTGGTAGCTATCCGAAAGTCCTTTTTGTTCTTGTTGTTTGTTTGTTTGTTTTTGTTTTAGTTTTGAGACAGGTTCTCACTTGTCGCCCAGGCTGAAGTGCAGTGGCATGATCATGGCTCACTTCAGCCATGACTGTCCTGGGTCAGGTGATCTTCCTGCTTCTGCCCTTTTAAATTGGGAATTAAATTTAAAAGGAATTTAAATTGAAAATCGTTTTAAATTGTCAAAAGAATTGAAAGGTATTTGTTACCCCATCCCTAGAGTGAGCTCTGTATAGGCCAGACTCTACTAGTTAGTGAAGGGGCCCAGTTGATACATTTCACAGGGACATTCAAGGGTATCAGAGTTTTTTACTAAGTCATGCCATAATCCCACAGATCTAAATGTTTATGGTTTTTCATATACCTTAATGCAGAAAAAAATCTAGTTTTAATAAATTATTCAGAATATGTTTAAAGCTTTTACAAAATTTAATAGTAGTTTATAATACTTTTTTGCCCTTTGTGTTTTTTTTTTATAATTTAAGAAATTATTTTGGTTTTAGACATAGTATTTCGCCTTCCACTAAGGGTACCATAAGATTGGGGAGAACTCTTAGTTTTGACATGGTTACCTGACTAGGTGATCTTGAAGAGGTCAAGTAGTCTTTTGAGGCCTCTGTTTCCTTTCCTTTGAATGTTGAGATCAGATTTTGACAGCTGAAGTCTCTTTCTTCTTCAGAATTCTACCATCTCCCATGTTTAGCCCATATAAACTTTCTGTGGCAAGTTCTGCTCTCTTCTGTATTCCAGAGTTGAATATCTTGCCGTCCACTAGACACACCCACTTGGACACCTAAAAATCGTCTCCAACTAAACAGATTCAAAGCAGAACTTTGAATTTGAGATTCCCAGCCATGTGTACTGTCATCACCACCCTAAACCAGATTCTCCTCCATTCTTTCATATATCAGTGTTAGGGACCTCCATTCTCCCAGGTGTTCAGGCCAGAAACTGTGGAGTCATTCTAGATTCCCCTCTTTGAATTACCTTGTATTTACTCCATGTGCAAATCCTAGCAGATGTCTCTGACATCTATAATCTGAATACTTTCTTCCCACCTACAAAGCGGCTTTCCAGTCCAAGTCCTCAACACTGCTCCCATGGATTACTTCAGTAGTTTTCTAACTGATCTAATATTTTTGCCCCACTCCAGTCTATTTTCCATTCAAAATATAAGTCAGCTTGTGTCACTCTTCTGCTGAAAGCTGTTAGTTTCCCATCTTACTCCAAATAAAAGCTACTGACTGTCCTTACCATCACTTAACAAGACTCTCTGATCTGACCCCAGTCTTTTTCTTTTCTTTTCTTTCTTCCTCTCTCTCTCTCCCTTTCTTTCTTTCTTAGAGAGTCTTACTGTCCCTATTAAAACAAGTTAATAGCTATCTCTATTATCAGCCTGTTATCCAGGCTGGAGTACAGTTGTGTGATCATAGCTCACTGCAGCCTCAAACTCCTGGGCTCAAGCAATCCTCTCACATTGGCCTGGATGTCATTCGTTTTGACTTTCCTTTCACTCACAATCCTCAGACCCCACAGATCTTGCTGTTTCTCAAATGGACGAAGCATTTTCCTTTTGTAGTGCCTCGTACTTGCTAAGTAGGTTTCCTTACCATTCCTCCAGATCTGAGTGGTCTGTCTTCTCTTCATTTGTATTCTGTTCAGCGGTAACTTCAGAATAGAGGCAATCTTTGATAACCCTTTGTAAAATAGTAACTTTCTTCACCACTTCCTGTTAATGTAATTTTTCTCCTTTCCTTTCCTCTCCTCTCCTCCCCTACCCTCCCTTCCTGCCTTCTTCCCTTTCCCTTTCCCTTTCCCTCCTCTCCCTTCCTTCCCTCCCCTCCCCTCCTCTCTGTTGTCTCCTCCCCTCCCCCTCTTTCTTTCTTTTCTTTTTTTCTTTCTTCTCTCTCTCCTTTTATTTTTCCTTTCCTTTCCTTTTATTTTATTTTATTTTTGGGACAGAGTTTCACTCTGTCACCCAGGCTGGCATGCAGTGACATGATCTCTGCTCACTGCAACCTCCACCTCCCAGGTTCGAGCGATTCTCTTCCCTCAGCCTCCTCAGTAACTGGAATTATAGGTGCACCACCATACCTAGTTAATCTTTGTATTTTCAGTAGAGATGGAGTCGTACCATGTTTGCCAGGCTGGTCTCAAACTTCCTGATGTCAATTGATCCACCTGCCTCAGCCTCCCAAAGTGCTGGAATTACAGGCCTGAGTCCCGGCGTCCAGCCTGATTTTTTTTTTTTCTGTTGTCATAGCTCTTATTATCACCTTTCTCTCTCTCTCTCCAGATAGATAAATAGATAGATAGAGATATATAATTTATTTATTATTCTTCCTCAATTGCAGTGAAATTTCCATGAGAACAAAAACTTTGTTTATTAAAGTAACAGGTACTCAATAAGTATTGTTGAATGAATGGATTCTTGACCTTTGCTAGAGTCCTGTAGTGGTAATGAATCTTCAGAGTTCCTAAACCAGGATCTAGTTAGTCTTCTGTACCTGTTATATGGTCCCTTTCTTGAAGAATGATAAAAATTAAAGTAAGATTTTTTATATGAGCATATTTAAACCTGTGTGGAGATATACCCTTTTCTATTTTTTAAGACTTACCTCTAAAATTTTAATAAGGAATTGTTAAAGCTGCACAAAATTGAAGTATTCTAAAATTTTAGATATGACATAATTAAGGAGAAAAAGCATACCCATATATCCTTAAAAAACATAGTAGTTGCTATATATAATTGAACTCAAATATGTGAAATTATTCTTGAAATAATTTTAAGTAGTGTTTTCTTTTGAATACTATTTGCTATTTTGAAACATTCTGAAACATCATTAATAGTTTCTATGTCAGTGTTTCCTAAGTGAAATATTTTTGTTTATATTTTTTATGCCATCCAATATGTTGATGTGTGGCATTTCTACCTAAATTTTAAAGAAAATTCTTGGCCAGGTGCAGTGGCTCACACCTATAATCCCAGCACTTTGGGAGGCTGAGGTGGGTGGATCACAAAGTCAGGAGTTCAAGACCAGACTCACCAAAATGGTGAAACTGTCTCTAGTAAAATACAACAACAAAAATTAGCCAGGCATGGTGATACATGCCTGTAATCCCAGCCACTAAGGAGGCTGAGGCGGGAGAATCACTTGAACCTGGGAGGCAGAAGTTATAGTGAGCCAAGATCACACCATTACACTCCAGCCTGGACAACAGAGCAAGACTCCGTCTCAAAAAAAAAAAAGAAAAGAAAAAGAAAAATCTTCTTAGAAGACGCCTCACTCCCCAACCTGAACATTGGATTTGTAAGATCTGATCATTTCAAATGATTTTTAATATTCCTACAAGATAGTTTGCTCAAATTTGTTGTTTCTGGGACTGAACAATGGGTTTGTAAGACTTGATAATTTCAAATATTTTTTAATAACCTGTGAGATAGTTTGCTGAAATTCGTTGTTTCAGTTTTATAGAAGAAGATAAGAGAACATTTTGTTCAAGACCATTTAGGCCACTTTAGAAGATGCAGGTCAGTTTTTCCTCAACTTCGTCTTCCTGCCGTCACATTCATATTTTCTTCCATGTCCATATATTACTTACAACGTTAATATTTTTCTCTATTTAAATTGGCACTTATGCTTATTTTTAAACCAAAGTTTATACCACGCTCATAAATGAGAAACTGGCATAACTTTCTATAAATAGAATATAACTTTAAAAATAGACCAGGTGTAGTGGCTCACCCATGTAATCCTAGCACTTTGGGGGGCTGAGGCAGGAGGATCAGTTGAGACCAGGCATTTGTGATCAGGCTGGTCAACACAGGGAGACCACTCTACAAAAAATAAAATAATTAGCTGAGGGCGGTGGTGTGGTCCCAGATACTCGGGAGGCTAAGGGGGAGGATTGAGCCAAGGTGGTTGAGGCCATGACTGGAACTCTGCACTCCAGCCTGGGCAATGGAGTGAGATTCTGTCTCAAAAATAAGTAAATACATAAAATTGATAATAAAATACTATTATTAAATTCCAACTACCTGCTAAAGCCTGGGACTGAGGACTATTCTCTGTATTAAAAATGGAGATTTGCTGGAGTTACAGATTGTCATCTTATTGTAATCAGAAGAAGGAAGAGACTGAAAAGAGAACACTTTTCTCACCGCGAGTCAGTGCTATTTAATGCCTTCTTCTTGTATTCCCCACATTATTTTGGGTACCTCCTGCAATCATCTTGAATCACAAGTGATTTGGGTTCTATACATTGAGAAACAAATCAACTTTACTATCAAAAATTAACTTATGATGATTATTATTCAATTATTCAGTCCCGAAAACCATCAGTTTCCTGCAAAACCATTGCGAGAGTCTCAGAGCCACCTTCTTACTGATTCTCAGTCTTGGATGGAGAGCAGCACAAACGCAGGAAAATGCAAAACTGGTAAGTGTGTGCTTGGTAGGCTGTCTTTTGATATATTTTATTTTTAGAAGGTAAACGTGTAAAAAAAATCCATTATATTACCTACAGACTTTTTCTTATTTTGTATTCAGACTCCCATTCCAAATTCAGAATTATTTTCAAAGAACTTCTATTCATGAAAATAGAATACCTTCTTTAATACCTGTTAGCAGCAGAAAATCATTTTGTGAAAGATGGATCTACATCGCCTTTCTTCTGTTTAAAAAACTAAATATTTATCACCACTCTGCAAATAAAATGATATAAGTAAATTCAAAATATAAAGTATAAAAATGAAAAAACTGCTATCAAATCAGATAGAAGATTGAAAAGTATCACTGAAAAGGATCTTAAATTATGCAGTTCTGTCTTTTACTCCAAGATTTCTGTCCAGTTTCAGAATGTCTAAGTAAAGTGGTTGTGCAATTATCATAACTTGAGCTGCCTGCGATTTCTTCATATCCCACTCACATACCATTTGTTACTGTTGTTGATTTTCATCTTTTGTTTCCTTCAGTCAGTGTAGTTCATTAGCAAGGAACAAGCAAGGCTTCAAAGTCAGACCTGATTTCAAATCCTAATTTGGACTTCTAGTAGTATGTGATATATTTGTTAAGTTACCTAATATCTTTTATACTTAGTTTTCTTATTTTCAAAAGACTACCTATTTCTCAGTGTTGGTAAGGAGTAGACAAAATAGGGAGATCATACATGCATGTGTGTGTATACATGTGTATACATGTGTGGTGTCCACATAAAGGAGTTAAAGCCATACATCTGTTATTAAGGTGTTATTAGCTAGGAGATCTTCAGCTTGACTACTGACTTTTTCTCCTTCATTTCTAGGCTTTTCAAATAAAACAGTAAATGTTTTAATGTGTAATGAACCAAAGTCAGGCAGCATGACTTTGGGATTTAGTGGTAGCAAAAAACAAATGGATAATCCCGAGTAAATATTCTAGTCATTATTTAATGTATTATCTTCTCCTAAAATATAAGCTTTATTTAAATAGTCTTTTTTATCTTTTTTTGAGATGGAGTCTCGTGCTATCACCAGGCTAGAGTGCAGTGGCACAATCTCAGATCACTTTAACCTCCACCCACTGGGTTCAAGCGATTCTCCTGCCTCAGCCTCTTGAGTATCTGGGACTACAGGTGCACTCCACCATGCCCAGCTACTTTTTGTATTTTTAGTAGAGACGGAGTTTCACCATGTTGGCCAGGATGGTCTCAATCTCTTGACCTCGTGATCCACCCACTTCAGCCTCCCAAAGTGCTGAGATTACAGGCGTGAGCCACTGTACCCAGCCTAAATAGTCTTATTTTTAACAAACATACATGATTTAACTATTCATAATTTGGTCACTCAGCCTTCAGACGTGCCATTTCACTTTCTAATCTATGGCAAGGAATAGGCATTGTCTAAACAAAAGTTGATCACACCAGTTTGTTCTTTGAATCCATCAGTTTCCTTAGAGGCAGAAAAGTGATATATAGTTGGGGGTCAATTGTTGAGAAGTGGAAAAACGACAAACTCCTCTTCTTCCAGAAAGGATTCATGTTTCATCTTATATAGTTTATATTAACATAGGAGTGGTTTCTTGATTTTCACATGCTTTTATAATTCTTTAGCATGTTCTATGAATTTTTTTGTTAGTTGAATGAATGACATGAAGAACTACTTAAAGTTTAAAATATGATGTATAGGAAGGAAAAGATACAGGAAAAATGAGGTGAGAAAGGGCTCAAAGATTGGTTTGACTAAAATGAGGTTGGTAGAGGAAGAATTTGGAAATGATGTAAGCTGATGTGAGCAGTGTGGGTCAATGTATCTTTCATTATTATGTTCCCCTACTTCCTCAGATGTATATTTCTATTTTCAGTGTATTGTGTGTGGGAGAGAGAGAGAGAGAGTTTGTAGCTGACACTGTATAAGGGGTGTGTGTGTGTTTCTATATAACCATCTTATACCTCCCTTATTATATACAGGACACCTTTGGAAGTCTACCAGGGGATTCATAATACATAGATGAATAACTAGTTTCTGTATACTTGTTCAAAGCAACCAAAAATGCTAACTTATGCTCTTTCATTAAGGTATGAGCAATCCTGCATTAACCATGGAGAATGAGACTTAACTCTTCAAGCAAGATAAATTCATGCTTTATAAAAGTACGATAATTTTCTCTTTATTGTTTTATATTTTTAACAGTCTTGTAATTTTCCTAGGGCAAACAGTTTCCGTAAACATTTTTACTTATTTGTGAGTGACTCATATAGAAGATCTTTTACCTGACTTGTGAGATTGTATTAGCCATGCTGGGGCCTCTGTGCACAGACCTAGCTTCAGTATTAGCTGGTATTTAGGTTAACTTGATGAATTATAGAATTAAGTTGATGAACAGAAGTCATTTTATAGTAATGCATTAAGTGGCAGGGATCAATCCTAAAATACTGAACTATACATAAAATTAATCTTGTCATTTTATAGGAAAATAGAATAATTGTTTTTAATTTTTTCATCTTTCAGAATATACAGTGGCATATCCTTGACCATCCATTAGCAGAATCTTACTGAGTCTAAATGCAGTACAATTATATCTCCTTAATGCACTCGTTGGCACACTGTCATTCCAATTTTGGGGTCATAGTAGGGCCTCATAGCATGTGTTAACCTTAAAATAATAGGTGTTCCAAATCATTTTCTTTAAACTTTATTTTTTTAAAACCTGCAGTTTCAAATCAGTTTCTTTAAAATATGATCTGGTTGGCCGGGCGCGGTGGCTCACGCTTATAATCCCAGCACTCTGGGAGGCCGAGGCGGGTGGATCACGAGGTCAAGAGATCGAGACCATCCTAGTCAACATGGTGAAACCCCGTCTCTACTAAAAATACAAAAAATTAGCTGGGCATGGTGGCGCATGCCTGTAATCCCAGCTACTCAGGAGGCTGAGGCTGGAGAATTGCCTGAACCCAGGAGGCAGAGGTTGCGGTGAGCCGAGGTCACGCCATTGTACTCCAGCCTGGGTAACAAGAGCAAAGCTTCGTCTCAAAAAAAAAATATATATATATATGATCTGATTATAAGCCTACAGTCAATAAAAAGCTACAATAAGGAACCCCTTTGGAACAAAAAACTTTAACAATTTACAGAGTTGAATATTAAAGATATCAAGATAACTCTCTATTTATAAAACTGCAATCTAGAATCCTAAAGTCTATTAAAAGAAGAGATCAGCGTGTAAAACAAGATTATTTGCATCAAAGTGTATGGATCTCTGTTTTTATTTGTTCTGGTTTTGATGAATTAGCCATGTATTAAAACAGCAAGATGCTTGTCTGGCAATTTGCCAGCTGACTTGTGTTTCATTTTGGGAAGACCAGTATCAGCTCTGAATACATTATGGTACAGTAGGTCACACTGAACGTAACTGGTTAAAATAGTGAAAATATAATATGAATTTGATTAAATAGCAAAGGGACATTATTAAATTTCTGAAAATAATTTTAGAATATAACTATGAGGCTAGGCACAGTGGCTCATGCCTATAATACCAGCACTTTGGGAGGCCAAGCGGGTGGATCACCTGAGGACAGGGGTTCCAGACCAGGCTGGCCAATATGGTGAAACCCCATCTCTACTAAAAATACAAAAATTAGCCAGGTGTACTGGCAGGTGCCTCTAATCCCAGCTACTCAAGAGGCTGAGGCAGGAGAATTGCGTGAACTGGGGAGGCAGAGGTTGCAGTGAGCCAAGATTGTGCCACTTCACTCCAGTCTAGGTGACAAGAGCAAAACTTCATCTCAAAAAATAATAATAATGTGCTATGAGTGTAATTTTAGAATGTAACTATAACAAATATGAGTCACTAGCCAATACCACAAATGAAATATTGTACAGAACATAGTTAAAACATAGAATTTCACAGGATTTTTTTTTTTTTTCAGTATTTTGAAATCAGTTACAATGACCATTGTTTTGAAGCTCAGAGCTATTAGGAATTTTTCTATGTGTTAAGTATTTTACGTATTTACATGGCAGTATTACATAAAAGCCATCTAGACTTCCCAGTATTTTGACATAATACCACTCTTGTGTTTGTTTATCTCCAACACCTTGCATAATGCCAGACACATAGTAGGTTCTGAACAAACATTCAACTGATAAGTGACAAAGTAAAAACATTGAAATTAAAAATTTGACAGAAACTTGATTTTATTAATTCAAATGACATTAGTAGTCATAATCACAAAATGGCAGCATGACTCAGCACTACAGACCTAAAAATATACTCCTGATTTTCTGATGTAATGTTTTCAATTCTGATCATATAACCAGTTTCAGTGACATGTTTTTTGTTGTTGTTGTTTTGTTTTTGAGACAGAGTCACACTCTGTCACCCAGACTGGAGTGCAGTGGAGTGATCTCAGCTCACTGCAGCCTCCACCTCCCAGGTTCAAGCAATTCTTCTGCCTCAGCCTCCTGAGTAGCTGAGACTATAGGCATGTGCCATCATGCCCGGGTAATTTCTGTATTTTTAGTGAAGATGGGGCTTCACCATATGGGCCAAGCTGGTCTCGAACTCCTGATCTTGTGATCCACCTGCCTCAGCCTCCCATAGTGCTGGGATTACAGGTGTGAGCCACTGTGCCCGGTCATGTTTTTTTTTTTTTTTTAGTTAAATTTTTCCTAAAGTAGCTAATAGACCCTAGACTTTTAAAAATAATTTTTCCTGCTTTATGTCACAGATCTGCAATTCATTCAAATTGTATGTATAGCAAATAATAGTCTGATATTGAGGTGCCTAATTTATATTAAATATCTTCATTTTTTCTCCTCTTTTTGAATTACATTAGTAAATGACATCCTTTTTATAAAATATTTCTTAGTTCAGCGGTTTCCAGATGGTTATAATGTGCCTAAACCCATAGTTAGTACTAAAAAGTAAATTAAATTTAGCTTACCAACCTTTCCTGTCAAGTGGTATAAATAAAAAATACTGGCTGGGCATGGTGGCTCACATCTGTAATTTCAGCACTTTGGGAGGCCAACACAGGCAGATTGCTTGAGCTCAGGAGTTCAGGACCAGCCTAAGCAACATGGTGAAACCCTGTCTCAACCAAAAATACAAAAGGAAAAAAATTAGCCAGGTGTCGTGGCATGTGCCAGCCACTTTGAAGGCTGAGGTTGGAGGATGGGAGGATCGCTTGAGCCAGGGAGTGGAAGTTGCAATAAGCCAAGATTGAGATTGCACCACTGCACTCTAGCCTGCGTAAAAGTGTAAGGCTCTGTCTCAAAAAAAGAAAAGAAAAAAGAAATGCTGTGCTTCTAAGCACAGGAAGTTTCAAAATCATTTCCCTAAATGTCCTTCCCCACTCAGTCGCCACTCCTAAACTCCATTCAGCCTCAGATGAATGCAGAACTAATAACAGAACCCTGCCATTCACACTGTAGCCTCAAACTAGCAACATAGGCATGACCTGGGAGATTGACAGAAATGCAGAATCTTAGGCCTTATCTTAGACCTACTGAATCAGAGTTTGCATTTTGGGTTTTTTTGCATTTTAATAGGATCCTCTCTTGTATATGTATATTAAAGTTTGATTAGTATTGATAGAGATCTGTATTCAAGAACACATCTACTGAGTCTTCCAGCATAGTAAACAGTTTTGAATGAGGGATATTATTGAAACAGATTATGAAATGAGTTGGTTCGTTTTGCATATTTATGGTTAACACAGTAGTTCCATGTTTTCTGTTTTATTTCAAGGTATCTATACTGTAGATGGATGGAAGAGGCTTCCCACAGGAAGGTGCCACTGGTCAGTTGTGCCTATATCCCTTTGGCTGGAAATGCAGAATATGAATTGATTAGTTCTCTCCAAGCCATTGATTAAAATATAACATATTTTGGATCCAGTATACACATTGTTAAAACTAACACAAACTCCTATTAAATATTAAAAGTAGTCTGGTTTATTAATAACAGGGAAAACATCTCTGAAAAACCTGGACTATATTCAAGGACCAGTTTTTTACCCAAATATATGGGTAGCACAGTTTATCACATAGAAACTCCACTAATCATCTGATTTTCTGAATCTGAAAATTTAGACTATTAAGATATTAAGATTTCAGAGATTTCAAGTCACATTATAATAAGTGTTATTCGTAAAACTTGTTACCTTTAAGAAGATGGAAGTAGCAAACCATATTTCTTTTTTTTCCTCTCGTGAATCCTGCCTCAGACTGAATGAACTGTAATAACTGTGAATTTATTACAGAGTCCAGGTGGCCTACAGTTGAAGATCATCAATTTTTGCCTCACTTAATTCCAGCCTTCGTTCTCTGCTGGAAAATAAGTGTGGACATTGAAGCTTGAGCTCCCTTTTAAAGCAGTTGGCTGGAATACTTTTGTCAGAATACAGTACATTTCTGTTACATCAGAAACACATTTTCATCTCTTCTAATCGTCTTAAATGGGGGGGAATTTATGATGGCAGTTTTGAAGATTGTTTTATGATATTCTGTTGTCAGTTTGGCTTTTTAAAAATCTCTTTTTAGATGACTTCTCCTGTTGAACATAGTAAAAATACTGAATTTCTGTTAAGAATTCCTAATAGGTCAATAGATTTACCCTCCGGTGATACCTATATTATTTCTTTGTCCTCTCATCAAAACTATGACAGGTAAACTATATTTTTCCTTAAACACCTATTAAGATTAAATTATGCAAATAATTAAAAATCATATAACTTTTGGGAAGTTAGTTCAACATGAACTAAATGGCATGCTGTTTGGAAATTTAGTTTGAGATAAACTAAAATAGTGTGTTTGTTGATGCCAGAATGTTCAGCTTCAGTAAATATACTAAGAAGCTCTTGTGCCTTGTATGCATTATTTGAAAAAAGTTTTATTTTTTGTTTTGAGTGCAGTATAATTTTTGTAAATGTTAACAATTAGAATAATAAGCTGTATGCTTTTTGGTACTGATTTTGAGAATTTAAAGCAGATTACCTTTTAAAACTGCACCAACTAAGTAACTGGTATTTAATCGAAGAGAAAATGGTAATAAACTTTCAAAACCTTTGTTAAACCAAACATTCAACACAAACTAAACTAGAAGGCCAGAGGATAATAGAATAAAGGATCATTGCAATTACTTATCGTTGCTAAAAATATATTAAATGTGCTTATGGACAAAACAGTGTCAGCCAAGTCCATTTTGTAGTTCATTTGAGTACGATTCTTTGAACAATAGAAAAATCTGCATTCTTTTACGATTTGTTTTAAGCTAAAGAGTTTCATCTGACAATCTGCTTTAAGAAATCTCAAAAAATATAACATTTTAACTTTCATCTTAAAGAACGTTTTGGTCATTTTTTAGAATACCTGAAGTGCCAGATTGGAACCTATAGCTACTGCTAGAAGTCTTACAGGCAACAGCAGCACAGGATGTATTAATAATTATATGAAGTCAGATTTTTTTTTCAAAGCAGAGTACTATTAGCTTTTTTTGTGGACAGGATTCTATTAAGTATTCTCTCTAGTCAAACTGGAAGCTGGGGAAAAAAAGATGGATTTTTATCCTTTACTCTGCTAGAGTACTGTTAATGCCCCTTTCCGCCAGTCTTTTATATAATTACATATATGTCGATAACACATTAGAATCAGATTTGAAAAAGTTAAAACAATTTCATTGTTGTAACTGTTCCCTTTCTGTTTTCATACAGTAATACCTTTAAACAGTTGTTTTGAAATATAAGGGGTTATAATTTTTGGAGATGATTGTGTATCTTGTTAGATATGCCATATAAATTTATCTAAGTGAACAAAGTGCTAAATAAATATATCTACATTTTGTACATATTTATATAAAATTTACCCTTAAGTATTTAAAAAATTTAATGGCTTAACTCGAACTTGAAGACACATACTTTAATTATCCTTATTGTCCATTAAACTGATAATTTTGATTTTTTTTGTTTTTATAGATTTTACTATATAGGAATCAAGATTTAAGAAATTTTTCATTAAAAGGTAGTGTACAAATGCTTCATATACATTAGTTATTTGCTATTATGTAGGGAAGAGGATTGTTATTTGAAAGATATATTAAAGAACAGTTGCATCTGAATACAATGATGATGTGTTCAAGGAAGTTCATATCCATGAATTCACCCTAATATATCCTCAAGTGGTTGATCACTTCATTAACTGTCTTTAAGAAACTGCCTTTGCATTGACACTGACAATATAAATTATTTTAAGCATAAACTTTCCTAATAGTTTGTTAGAGCTACTAATGGCAAAATTCATGTCTTTAGTGTGGTCATAACATAGGTCTTTGGGGAAGGGGTGGTGAGAAGATAAGGTATTTACTTCGTAGTAAATGATTCCGAGGACGATTAGAAACAGACTATGAAATTCAAGTACACTGTAATCAATAGACAACTATTGGAAATACGGCATATGTTGTCAAAAAATAACTCTTAACTAGGGAAATCAAAGATATAAGTCATGTTTACAAAAAATAGCAATCGTGATGAATCTTGCTTCAAGAAAACATGAAAAAAGTATATTACTCCATTATATTATAAACTAGCAAATTTTTCCTATTTTGAAATACATGTAAACTTGCCGGGCTGATTCTTAAGTCATACTGTATCCTTTGGTATATACTTATATTGCCAAATTCTTGTCAAAGTGATGATTCTGGATACCTTTGATCAAATATAGAAACCTCATAAAATGGTAAATGCAACACAATTTACATTGTAAATCACGATGAATGTCTGCCCCAGCACAACCATCCCATCCACACACCCAGACTCCAGATTCTGATCTGCTAATATTTTGACCAAAGTGACATTTCAACAAGTGGATTTTTCACAGATAACGTGTTTTAAGTAATAGCCTCCTGCAGAAACGTTCTAAGCAGAAAACCACCTGGCTCAATCCGAAAGTTTTACACTTCTTTTCTGCATACTTAGCCAGTTCAGCACATGTGGTGAACTTCCCCTTACATGTGGAAGGGGACTATAATCACACACCTTAAGTATTTGCTACTCTTTTACAAAGATACCACTAGAATTTTTTCACTTTGTCTTGGTAAAAATTCCTAGATTCTACTTTTTATTGCAGGTTTTAATAATTTCATCTTGTAATGCCATGAAAAGCATTAAGTAGAAGCCAACATCAGAGAAATCTAGATTTTTAAATTGAGCAATTTGTTCTCCACCAGATTTCGTTTAGAATTTGTTACCAAAGGATCTCATTTTGTTACAGAACACAGGAAATCGTGTTATACTTTATAATGGTGAAACCATGCATTTTCCTTTTCTCTTTCCCATAAGATTTTTTATTATAGTAGTGCCCTGGCTTGTAAACAGTGGACATCACTGAAAGGATGAGATCAAGTAGGCTTGTTTCAAAGAAACTCCTGTGAATCAAAAACTGTGCATATGAAGTACCTCCCAGCACAATGTTCAGTGTTACAGGAGACTCTGAAACAGGGCACCCATTTTTTTTTTTTCCTTCCTCAAATAGTCCCCTTGAAATGTAAGCAAAGAACTATGATAATGCAATCCAGGTAACTAATAGTTCAATCACCAACACCCTCTAGTTCAAATACAAAAATCTGGGCAATGCCAATAGAAGACAATCATTTGCAGATCTTGTTGCAGGAAAGTGGGGGCAAAAACAAACTGCTGAAAAATGTTCAAAAGTAGATCTTTTTGATGTTCTTGTTCATAGCCAGCTTTCAGTATTTCTGTATTGTTTACAATTGGGGGAAAATGTTAAGACTACTTTTCTGAGTGGTTTATGAATACCATACCAAAGGGAAAGTGATTTTAAGCCCTGGTTTATGCTAGTTCCCTATTGCTCAGGAAGGATAGTAGCAGTTCATGGTTTTTGAAAACAACCTATCATTTATGTTGCCTCTTCCAGGGAAGGTTTAACAGTACAAGGAACTCAATCCTACCTAAAATTATTAATGCTTAATAGCTTGTGTGTGATGAATCAAGGTGCTTAATCAATTTTTTTAAAAACCCATAATACTTCAAAATAAAATTGTTGATGCTGAATTTAAACAGATACTAAAAAATGTGTCAGTTCTCCTGTTGTATTTTACTCAGTTATGAAAGCAAGGCTATTCTGTCAGTTTAGATTTTGTGTGTTTTTCTGTCAGTGTGTATGGCTCCCTAAAGTATACTACTATTAAAAGCATCTTAAATGAACTAATCAAATACTGTGTGAAAGCTGAATATTTTAAAAAGCAGCCTTAATTATAAACTAATCTTGGAGTAACATGCAAACGTGTTAAAGTTATTTTAAAAACACTCTTAAGCAAGAAGTAGAGGATAGCCCCAGAATTGCTACAATGAAAGGAAGGAAAGTCTGTATATACACATGAGGTAACTCAAGAACAGGTTTTTATTCTTTATACATGGGCTTTGCAGCGATACAACACCTGCTAACAACTTATAGTATTAATTTTTTAGAAAAACAAAACAGGTATATGGCATGAGTGAAACAGGTCCCCATCAAAAACATTTAAAACCTATGGTATGGCTAATATGATATAAAATATTAAGTACCCTTGGATCTTCAAACTTGCGCTTCCTAACAGTTTAGAAGCCATGATGATATTAAGTCTGAAGCTAAAGGAACTCCAATTTCTTGGTATGGTATTGAATAAAGATTCTTATCTTTTGAGAGAAACAGCCCCAACAGAAGTGTGTGAAAGCAGTTAATTTCCCCTCCTATGACAATAAAGCAAGAGGGCAGATTATATTCATGAACACGTCTCATGTACAAAAAATTCCTGCCTAACAGAAAGAAGAGTATTTACCAGTTTATCTTTAAAAAGAAAATGAGTGATTTTGGAGAAAGGTAGCTTGGTTTATTCAACTACAGATTATGGCTACAAAGCAATGAAATGGACTTCTAAAGAGAAAGCTCAATTGCTTTTATACTAAACATTAGATGCAACCGACTAATGCAATGGAAAACTATAATACAAGCTGGAACAAATGGAAATTGTCTAGTGAGAATGTACATGAATCTGGTTTTCTTGGAATTTTCACTCTATGCTTTTTTTAACTTTTAAAACCTGAAATGAAAATTATGCAGGACTTAGATGTGTACAGTTCAACATTTCTATAATGTCTTAATAGAAAAATGAAAGGGAACATTGGTATGAATGAAACTCTGATACAAATTACACCAACATAGCAAATGGCATGTATGAACTGGTCCTCACTACAAAGTACCTGCACACAGAATAATCAGTGTTTTTCCTAAGAAATTGTAAATTCTAACACATTTATTTTACAGACATGACACAACATATACATTCATAATTTGATTCCACCTCGAATTGTCTACCTAGAGGAGCCACTGCCTATGGCAATGCAGATGAAATGGCAAACAGGACAGATACAGAGATACAGACCCTTGAGTTTCTTCTAGAGGTAGACAAGTCTTTTTTTTTTTAAAGGTGGGGGGCGGGGGCAGGTAGCAAATAGAGGCTTTGCAAGCTAAGATGAAAGACACTACTTACGTACTCAAAATTTTTCACAAAATTTTTATTCTAAAAATTGAAAACTCAAAACATCAAGTACAATTTTTGATAGTAATAGAAGTCTACTAATGGGGAAAAGGTGTTTTTTGGAGGTAACATTTTGGTCATTTTGGGCTGAAAGCTGGTATTCCCTCATCAGAATCAATTGAAAATGTTAATCTGTTAATGCTGATCTGTAATGAGATTTCACATATTTCATCTTCACAAGTGTCTTTTCACACAAATAGTTTGAGGTTAAACACTGACACACCCATGAGCCTGTGATTTTACTTAAGCATATTCATCACTTGTAAGGCAACTGTAGGAGTCATCATTTTGGTATTTGCCCTTTAGCGTGTCATTCATTCAAGATGATTCATTTCCAACAGAAGATTAAAAGGAAACTCTTCAATTGCAGTTAAATGCTTTTAAAATTTAAGAATTTTCTTTGCACTGCATCAAGGTCCAAAAAACTGCTATAGGAAAATATAACCACTAAAAATGGATGTGGCAATAGAGTGCTGTTTTGACTTTTGATAGCACAGGAAGTATATAAAGCAGCTTGACAATCTTATGATTGAAATTTTAGTTTTTATTGAAATGAGTTTACTGTAGTATATCATGTTGTTCGGTGAAATTTATTAAGAAATATTTCGTAAGTCTGTGGCAAAAGTTAATTTCCAAAGTCACTCAGTTAAAAAAACAGTGGTTGAGGACAGTTCTTCTCATTCAGAAAAATATCAATGTGAGCCCAAAATAATCAAAATAAATCTTTAGCACTGCTAAGCCAATGAATGCCTGTGTGGTAAATCTAATCAGAATATTCAGCTTCTGTTTCTCACAAAAGTGAGGTTCACTGTTGACCAGTTCAGTAACACCAATATTTCCTGCAAAGTACTTGCTGATGAATAATAAAGTGAACAGCTATAGGTTTTAAACAACTTACATTTTCACAAGCTTTATAAATTTGACCAAATAAACTTTTTTCTGCTTCATGCATTTTTTTTTTTTTTTTTTTTTTTTTAAACACCATCAGTTGCATCACATCTTAGTAGATTCCACTTCAGGTTGTACTGTCTCTCAACTTTTTTTGAAAATATTCCCACTTGTAGTTCCATACAAATTCTACAGTCACTTCACATCCAGCAATGGTTTCTCAAAAAATGAAGCTAGGCAGCACTGAAGTTAAATAATAACACTCGATGTCATCTGATACTGTGTCCAAAGTCTTCATTCTTCAAACTACTATTCTCATCAAAAGGCTGATGTCTTAATCTTCCCTGGACACATTTCTTTGGGTTGGTTACTATCTTCAAGCATGACAGAACTCGGCATTAGTAAATGCTTTTCTTTGCTCAGCTAACAACTTGACCACTTATAAACATTTTAGTTACAGCCTCATTTTTCTTATTTTTGTGAAATTATGTTGTGATGTTTCATTCAAATTTTCTAATTCTTATGTTACTTTCCCATGAATTGAGAATATTTTGATGTTAGTCCGATACTGTCAGTCTATTCTTTTAGCAGTTATGGTGTCACTGCATTATAAACACAATGTACCACCACATAATAAAACAGTCCATATTCCAGTGTGCCTTAAATGCATAACATTCAAAGTGTACTTTCCTTGTTCTGAGATACGGGGCATGACCTGGTAGTAGGAAAAGTAATAAATGTGGCAATATACAGGGCATTCCAAATGCTTTCAGGTCATACCTGCATCACTGTGATTCTGTAGCTTGCCAAGCAGCAATGTGAAACAATGAGACAGACATAAACAGGTTCTGTAGCAGCTACTCATCTTTCCCATTGTAGCAAAAATGTATCCATAGATAATATGTAAATGACTGTGGCTGCACTCCAATAAAAACTTATAGACTCTAAAATTTGAATTTCATGTAATTTTCAGATATCAGGAAATATTCTTTTGATTATTTTTCCCAACGATTTAAAACAAAAAGCCATTCTCAGTTCATGGGCCATATAAAAACAAGCAACAAGCTGATTCTGGCTTGCTTTAGTAGATTTAACAGAAGATATGAGTCTGTAATTAATGGCTCAGGAACACTAAAAAAATTATCAGCCAAATATTTTATGTCTAAAACCTAGACTCTACAAACATTTGGCCTATCTGGAACAAAATAAAAAAGTAAAATTTAGACCCAGTAAGTCATAATGTTCCTCTACAGAAGTTACAAAATACTGTACAAGTGCTCAACTTACAATGAGGTTACATCTGAAAAAATACCAAAATGCATTTAACACAGGCAGCAGCATACAGTCCCCCAATTTACGATGGTTCAACTTAAAATTTTTGACTTTGCAATGGTGCAAAAGCAATACACATTCAGTAGAATGTGTAACCCCATCATAGGTCCTAAGGAGTTCCTAAACTTTTGATGGGGTTACCTCTCAATACACCCACTGTAAAGTTGAAAAATCATTAAGTTGAAAGATAGTAAGTTAGGGACTATCTATACTTTTTAGGTACAGAAGCCAGAACTGACCTACGTTATGAGCAATTATGTGGCTACTAAAAAGATAATCTTTATCATTCCTATTTCAAATCCAGCATTGATTTCTCAATGAATAGTTGAAATATTAGTTGAAGAAAATGTAAACGTTATTTTTCTCAATAAAAACTAGCAAATCGTAAGTGAAAAGAATCTTCATTTTTAACTAAGACAAAACAAAGCCAGAAACTTGCTACACTGTGTTAGATTTTTTTTTAAAGCCACAGTTATATCAATTGTATTTACTTGGTAAGTATATCCTTCAGAATAAATGCATTCCTGGAAAGGAGAGATAAAAATCAGTCCTTAATTAGCTAGTTGAGGTACTCATAAAGAACAAGAATAAGCCAATATTTGAAATGCAGAAAGGTTAGATTGATTTTTCAATTAATGGACTAATAATCATCTACGGTTAATGAAGGAAGTTACTGAAAGAGTTGCCCAAATAAAAAAAAATCCACAAAGTGTGTATTTCCAAAACAAAATCACCAGTCATCAAATTTATAAGAAAACATTTTTGAAGCCTTTATTTACAAAAGGTTTAAAAACAAATAATACCCTCTGTTTTGCAAATAATGTTTTGTTTAAAAAGGACCACCCAGTTACAGCACTGTAATATCATGAATAAAGAATGTACAAGGGAGACAAACCAATGTAACATTTGGAGATTTGCTAATATTACTGATTGTAAGTGTAGGTAACACACATTATAACTCGTAGTCCATCATTTCAAGGTAGAGTTAATGATTACTGAAAAGTCTTGCTACACATGCTCTGGTCTGGTCACATATTCTGCATGACTAAATATTTCAGTCTCTTTTGTCAATATATATAAAATAGATTGCAAAGATATACACAAAAAAATAAACAAGCATTACACTCCTCAGGTAATTTTATTAGATATATATATATATATATATATATATATATATTCTCATATATATATATATATATATATATATATATATTTTGTTGTTTTGTACCAAATCTCTCCATTATTTACTTCTGTAGCAAGCACAATTTTTGTTTTCTAATTTAATTTGGTACAAAATATACTTAAAGACTTATTATCTTTGGATTTTAATAAAATTGATTTGTGTAACCAACAAATCAATAGTATCATAAGTATGGCTACAAAATTTAAAAAAAAGGGTAAACAGTGACGGAATAAAAATAAGCAGATCAAGGGAAGTGTGCTATCATAACTAGCTTCAACATCTTGAGTACCAATTTCCTGGCAGATACTAAACATCCAATCACAAGGGATTCTTCCTGAAGGGTGTAAAGCTGGTTTGAAAATTCTTCAGTCACAGAGCAGCCTACACATGCCAATTAGAAACTGACAGACACTAGATGTGCTTGGAAGATTAAACACTACGTACAGAAACAGCAGTTACTAAGCTCCTCAGTAGTTTATCTTTTTTAGTTTCGCTAAACTGACAGCACAATGAATGTGCTACAGTCTGTGGGTCAAAACCAAGTAAATACTGTGTAAAGTTGGCAGATGGTCATTTTTCCAGCTAAGATGAAGAAAAAACAAAATTTCTGATAAAACAGAGGTTTTGAGTCAGAATCACTCTCTAAAGTGCAAAATTGATGGTCCACAATCTCAAATAGCTAAAACTCCTGCAGAATGGAAGGGAGAGACATGAAACAGGGAAATAAATTACAGTCAGTGCTAGTTAATTTAGGAAAAGGAAAAAATAAACCCAAGTAGGTAAAGTTTATCAAAATATTCAGTGATGTAGCTTTCCCCACTCTCTGTCACACACGCTTGCTAACAAGTATATTAAGGCCAAATTTAACCTGAATGCATTTTTTTATTAAGATCTGAGATAGGAACGGTCATACTTAGTACTGAAAGGTAGACAATAAAATGGGCCACGAAAGGGGCAGGGGAAAGGTACTGTCTATTGTTCAAGGGATTCAACCAGAGATAAAACCTATATACAAGCATGTGTGTAGCTCGAAATAAAAATAAAAGGACTATTTCATGTCATGACTGCTTGTTGGCTTCCTCTTCATATGCATTCCCTGTGCCATTCTGTACATAGGATGAACCAGAACCAAGGCCATACAAATGACCACAATATTTGGCATCATCAATATGATCTTCAAAGAACATCTAAAAAGGAATTTTGAAGAAAAAAAGATAATTTTAACCAAAAGGTACCACTTCTAATTTCTATTTCAGCAATGTAAGTACTGACTGTTCATTAAAGATGACAGCTCTTTTCTATGGTGTTCCTTTGAGGCTACATTAAGTTCAATAAATAAGACTAATGTAGTCAAAAGTACAGAGCTCAGAAACCAAAGCAAGAGACTACAAAAAAAAATGTATAAAAGCATGTCTTTTCCATTATCATTTAGACCATTTTTATAAGAATTTGCAATCATGGAAAAATAAATATTTTATTCCATTAATTTAACGATACTCAACAGTAAGAAGAAAGCCAATGATGGTAGGAAAAAAGTTTAGGTTCATAAGCTGTCTTAAGTCTATGTGCAAGGCTGAGCTGCTGATAAATAAACCCTAAAGTTATGGACAGTAAAATCTGAACATTCACACTATATTACTATCCTTGAAGAAGCCAAGAAAAATAAAAATAAATTAGTGCCAGATCTACCTTCAGTTAAACCATTATGACATCTTTAAAATGCAAAGCTAAAAAGTCCAAAAGGTTTCAATTATCTAATGAAACAATGGGAAGGAGTCCAAAACAAAATATTTACGTGTCATGAATGGACAGTCCAAGTCACTTCTGAATCAATGCTACTTAGCACAACAGCTTTAATACTTTCTATTAATACACTGCTACAAAAAGTTAAATTCTCAGCCTCAGTCAATAATTTAATGTCTAAGAGAATATACTCAAAATCTGAAGTGAATTTTTGCTTAAGGGAAAACTTTCATATAGGCAAGAAAAACCTCACTTTTGTTTCTGTACATCCAATTTTCCCTTCTGTTTACTTATAGCTAGGTGAATCTATGCATATCAATTACTAACAGTAGATATGGGTTCATTAGGTTTCATTTTTCCATACCTAACATTTTATACTCAAGGAACTGATCTCTGCCTTTTGCCATTTAAGGAGGGTTTCCTAATATGGTTTCTGATTCAACTACTACAATGGATTTATTTAATCCCTTCAGAATTCAACCCCCTTTTTAAGACTCAATCCAGTAAAAATCCTGAGTCCTACTCTTTAAAATCTCCAAAGCAGTGAAGAATGGCATGAGCAAATATTTTTATCACCAGTTTAAAGCCTAAAAGAAGGCCATGCTAGAAGAAACCTAAAAATCTTTGCCTTGCAGAAGGAGCACTGATGGAGTCTACAAAAAGAACTCTGGATTTCTCCCACTAGTAATGTGTTTAATCATGGAAGTTATTAGCCTGTTTTCTCACCTGAGAAATAATATCGTTGGACCTACTTGATTTCTCAGGTAGTTTATGTTTTAAAATTTGGGGTTCTAGGAAGAACATGTTCTCACAGTTCCTTATGAACTACATTTCAAGATGACTTATTTTTGAATACTTTAAGTGTGGTGGATATGACTCATACGGTATCTCTAATTATATCTTTACTTAGTAGGTATGTGTTGCCCAAAATCTTTGGCCATTACAAATTTTTAATGTTCTCAACCTAACAACCAACTGAGAAAAAGGCAGTGATGTCTTCATACTTCTCTCATTTTGAAAAAGGCCATTCCTGTGAGCAATGAATCAGATCCTGCCTGATGTTGTGGTCCTATCCGTTCCAGCTCTAACTGTTCTGCCACCTCCTGTAATCCACCCTAGAAGAAACAAAAATTGCTTGTCAAGGAGAAAAATATTGCAATGCCTGAATTCACCAACTGTACACTTAGTGACCAAAATAAAAATAAACTTTAGTATGTAAAGGTGAACCTTATAAAGATTAGGGGGAAGAAACAGAGAATGTGAATTACTAATGGAAACGAGATCCTAATTGGGAAAATGTATCTTCATCATGTTTCAGGGCATATAACAGGTAAATAATGTTACTAGAGATAGGAGGGAAGCAAACCATATATAGGGTAGTATTTATCAACTATAATCATAATCTATCAATCCAGTAATAATTATAAAACTGAATAGCTAGTATAACACCACTTTTTTTCAAATTTTCTTAAACTTCTCACCAGTCCATTTGTAGTTTTGCACTTAATTTTTACAAAACAAAGCCATTATGAATAACCGAATCATTAAGAATATGCTAAATGCTTAACTATGGTTTTGTTAGTTAAAACAAGTATAAGCATACAACTCCTTAGAGTGGTCTGCTCTAATCCACCTATATTAATACTGCTAAGATTAAAAGATAATGAGAGTGGAAAGAAAGAAAGGAAAACATTTAATAACAGAGAGAGGGAGGAGAGGGAAGGGGAGTAAAGGGAGAGGAGAGAATGAGAGTAGAGTGAAGGAAAGAAACAAACACCAACAACAAAACAGAAATTCTTCTCTAAATTGTTAAGGCCTCCACCAGTAAACTAGCCCTTCTGTACATCATGGCTTAAAACAATGCTTTGCACAGCAGTTCCTTCTGTGCTAAAAATAGCACGAGAATTAGGTATCATTAGCAGCTGCTTAGGAGAACAACGGAAGTCAACAGAACAGCATGGCTGACAATAGGTCAGAAAGCACCTTTGTCATTAACCTGATTTTTAACACAGCAGCTCACTCAGGACACATTCAGAGTATCTGTACTTAAAAACTTCCCAGTAACACACACATAGTGAGCAATATTTTGGTTCTCTGTTCCTGAAAACTGTCATTATACAGACATGTCAATTAAAAAAAAAGTTTCCTAAGCCAGATGAAAACATGAAGGCCCTGGATTATCAGCATGCAGTGCCAAAGGGTGGGCTGAGTTTCTCAAGCAAGGGATGCCCTGCAGCAAGTTCACTTGCTGGAAGTATAAGTCTACACTACAAACATAAAATAATCTTTCTTAAAAACTTCTCTAGTCACATTCTGACCATGCCCCGTATTAAAAAGTAAACGCTGGCCAAAACAATGTTTCTCATCTTCAGTTGTCTGTTAAGACCAGCCTGACCAATATGGTGAAACCCGGTCTCTACCAAAAATACAAAAATTAGCTAGGCGTGGTGATGGGTGCCCATAATCCCAGCTACATGGGAGGCTGAGGCAGGAGAATCACTTGAACCCAGGACAAAACTACATGGCTGAAAGATTCTTTTTCTGGCCAAAAGATGTTAGCTTGTTACAGGTAAGTACTATAGAAAATGTGTAGGTCCTGCCTAGATATTAGTAACATTCTAGGAGGCAGAGGTAGCAGTGAGCTGAGATTGCACCACTGCACTCCAGCCTAGGAAAAAGAGTCCCTCTCAAAAAAAAAAAAAAAAAAAGCAAAGTTTCCTTATTTAATTCCCATGTTCTTTCTGCCTAAAAGCAAAGCTCTTCAAGTCTTTACCATCTAAAAGTGTAACTTTACTTGCACTTCCAAAACCTGATGAGGTGAAAATTTGATCAACCTTTGTTTCACTGAAGAAAGAAGAGACGATGCAGGTTCTAGAAATCACCTACATTGCCTCAATGTATTTTTGTTTCCTTTTAGTTATAGCTTAAATGAGTGCACACCTAAGAAAGACAAAACCACTGTATTCCCAGGGCCCAACCCACCAGAGATAATTCTGTTCTCAAAGTGAAGGAGCATTTTTCCTTATCAATCTCCTTTTGAAAGATGTTTAGAATTTAAAAATACATGTTATGAAGCATCAGAATATTACTACTGTCTAGGCAGGACCTACACATTTCCTGTAGAATTTACCTGTAACGAGCCAACATCTTTTGGCCAGAAAAAGAATCTTTTAGCTATGTAGTTTAATCCTAGAAACATTATCCTATCATTAGAACTGACAAAATAATTTCTAGCTAAGATAAAAGGAAAGAAAAACTCTTTTGCCACACTACTGAATACATCTGCACATGGCTGGCCACCTTAGAATCTACCTTGTAAGAACAGATTCCATGCATGCTGGGAGAAAGAAAGAACTCACACTGGTGTACATATGAGAGCCTCACTGTCCTCAAATTTTTGTTTTGGTTTGTGATTTTCAATCTGGCAAGCAATGACAAGAATCTGACCTAAGCCTGAATTGTGTTGAAAACTAATTCTGCTTTCGGCCAAGATATACTGAAGCTCTGAAAAAATGATTTCCTATAAATAATCATTTATGCAAGAAAAAGAATAACATGACCAGATAACATAATTGCATTTAATGTAATACTTTAAAATATGGTTTAAAACAACACCCTAGCCTAGGATCTTATGAGTCACTTGGTCTGAACAGTGTGATGTTAAAGATAAAGCCACCTGAAGCCTTACTTTGAGATTTTTGCAGCTCTTCATGAGGTACTTCACATCATAAATGACAGGAAAAAACAATCTAAGGATCTCAAAGAAGTCAAGTTCTTCTTCAGGCAAGTTAGAGTTGGTCAGGATTTTGATTAAATAGCCAAAGTCATAACCGCTATAAAAGGGTTAAAATAGAGAAGAGAGAAACATAAATACCATAAAGATTTTAAAAAAGATGTTTTTCTGATTCAAATTTAAGCAAGTCACATTACAGCCCTTCCAAAAAAATTAAAGAGAAGTGCACATAAAAACAGAGAAAACAAACATATTTAGAACTATAATGGGAAAATGCTGTCATCTTACAACAGTGTTAAGAACTTTATCACTTTATTATTCAGAGAGATCAACACAGATCTACACTACCAAACCAAGCCTGTGGTCACTAAAATACTATTTTGCTGATGCTCGAATAGAGAACACCAGAGTATCAAGCTGCACAAAGATGTCTCAAAAAAAATGTTTTTAATAACTATGAACATAGAGAAATAAAGATAAATGGAAACTTGGCCATAAGAGTTAGCAAATGTAGCAGAAGAACTGGCATTCGGTAAGCAAAAGTAATGCAAGTCATTCCATCTGTTACAGAAGGTGGTCATATACTTTATCCAAAGAATAAGATTCTAACAAGGTATTTTCACTTCTCTTACGTGACTTTATGAATAAGTAGGCCCTCCCTCTCTTCCTTCACAATTCTGGCTCCCTTAGAGTTATTATTAATGGAAACGTTGCACATGAAAGAAGTGTAGTAAAAAATAAGAACTACTCTCCTGGATAATAAAATGCAAACTCCTACATTCTCAAATCAAGACCTCTTATCCCTTCATCTGGACTTTTCCACAGCTGTCTGTCTCCCTACACTCCCAGACCAGTTAGACACTCCCATCCCTTATCTATCTTTCCTTCCAGGATTTCTGACAGGAAGTCTATATAGCATTTGCCTACTAACATTAAAAGTATAATTACATTAGCATTTAGGATTTATAAACTTCTTAAACTATTCTTTATTACTAGAAATAGATTAGAATATGATGAAAACAGCTGATATTTATTGTAATAAAATCTGATATCTTGATAAATATTCAAATATATCAGTCTGACTTAGATTCTAAACTCCAAGAAGACATAAATGAACCCTGCTTTTGTTCATCTTAATATCCCAGTGCCTAGTACACTGTATTTTGTCAGAGTATTCTTTAAATGAAAGGGTATGTCATATACAGTGTAAAAGGGTAGGAAACTACTTTTTAGTGCTTTTGTATCTTCATGTCTACGAAGTAAAAATGACTGAAAAAAAGTTATTTGTATCAGGAGTCTTAAGTTGTGTCTCCTAAGGTATGGTCTCAAGTGGAGAAGAGACAAAAAGATGGTAGATCGAGTGCGTTCAGTACCTACAACTCAACAATTTCTGCTTAGTACATATCAAAGTTGCCCATATGAACTGTCCCTCACTATAAACATCCCACAGGTCAGAGCTGGAAGCTAAACCATGCAGGAGATTCAGATTTAAAATAAACGTGTGAAACAAACCAAGTAAAAGAGTATTAACACCTATGTAACACAATGCTTTTTCAAAACCTAACAAAAGCCAAATAAAATCATTCTGAAGGTTACTTTAAATCCCTGGATCGTCAGTTTAGTTTACTTAGATAGGTAAACTCTCATACATGGAAGTCTATTTTCACAAAATAGGAACTAGTTTCCTTACCAGAAACACTCTTAAATAATCTAGTTTTACAATAATAAAGAATTAAAATCTACCACTTATTGATAATTGACTGTTTATAAAGTAATTTACTGACTATTAAAGCAAGTCTTCGAGATATTTCTTCTAAGGGATACCTTATCACATTATTTTTAAAAAATTAAATTCCATCTACACACACACCCCTAGCATTTTCTTGCTGTTTCATTTTAGATAGTACTTAGCACTATCTAACAAACCACAATATGAACTCCATTTTTAAAAAACTGTCCACCCCCATCAGGATATAAACTCCATGTGGACAAGAATTTTCATCTGTTTTAGTCACAGCTTAATTCCTAGCATTTCATCACAGTGCCTGCCATATTGTAAATACTCAATAGATTTTTGTAAATGTAAATTAATGGTTTCCCTTGTAGAACATTAAAAACTAAGGTGCAGAAATAGTAAAAGAAAACCCTGGGCAACATCAATTCCAAACGGCATTGCTGGCTTTAAACTAGGCCTTTCACTTTCTAGGGAACGTGTACTCTTTCTACTACGCAACATGCTTCTCACAGGCAAAAATGGATCCCATATTTTAAATTAACCTTTAAGCAGACTAACATTAGCCTCCTAAGAATTAGGTGACAACTCTATATGGCAGTCAACTCTTTCTAGAATTAAGCCTGAAATTGCTAACATAGTGACCGAAGTAAGTGTGATGCAAGTATGAGATGGAAACACAAATGGCATTTTCAATGCAGTCGTTTTACCTATGAAATGACAACCATTTGACCCCTTCACAGAGGACCACTCCTGAAGTCATGAGAAGTTCTGCGAAGTACTGGGTCTCAATTCCTTCTTCCTCATGTTTTTTAAACTGGATACCAGATGTTGTTAGCAGCTCTATAGAGTCCTGGGCATACATGTCCTCCCTGGCAGAAGAAAGAGAAAGATTCAAATATGCCATTACTTCAAACAAGCTGTTCTTCTGCTTACACCTGTAACTACAGTGCCAATAAGGAGAGAGAGGATTGGCTTGATTCCAACTGTTTGAAGGCTTTAACCTTTGTGCAAGAAAAATGCAATTTAAATGCAAGAGTCATTGTTTCTGAAAAGTGTTTCAAACAGTAAAAAATCATTCAAAGAGTTCAATGGTGCAATTTTAATCCTTACTATTAACTCAATTTCATTAGCCTTTCATACTTAAATACATTTAACTGGGTTTGGAAAAAGGGTCTTCTACTCACCAGGGGCTACCACCACAGAGTGACAGACAACTTTTTTCAGACTCTCTGTCTCAGCAGTCATTGTAATGCTGCTAGGTGGAGCTGCAGCCATAGCTGTGGGGGATATGCCCACCTCCTATGGTCTTGGCAGCATAAGGAAGGAGACCCAGTGGAAAACATCTCATGTGGTTGAGGTAAAACTACACTTCATCCTTAAGAAGAAGGAGATGCCTTTCATAAATGATAAGCCTTGCAAATGGCTCCAATAAGCAACACTGCTTAAAGTTAAGGACTATGCTGTAATAGCAATAATTTCTTCTGTCAACAATCATATTCCTAAAAGACTGCCTTATAAAATCAAGCCAGGAAATCTAAATATAAACCAATTCTTCAAGATTTCACTTAAGCCAAAAAGAAAGCCATCTCTAATTTCCAACCACAAATTTATGTGTATCTGAAATATTTAAAAAGTTATTAAAATACACATGTATTTTTGAGAATAAATGAAAAAGTATTTTGTGAATCTGCCATTGAACTTTTTATTTACTTTTTAAATTGTAAGAATAATGGTTTCTACCTTTTGGCAAAAGGAATTGCTATTAAACACTTTAAACAAAACTAAACCAAGGGTATATTTCACTTGGGCCAAAAAGCATTCTTATGGTTTGTCCTCTGGAAATCATTTTTAAATGTCTGAAAAATTACAAAGCTAATAATGGAATTATTTTAAAATAGAGGCAAACTACAATAATCACTTAAAAGTTAAGTCTCCCCTGGAAAATCCTTTAGGAAAGGTAACAGAATAAACCCAATGAAGTTGTTTAGTATTTTTTGTTTTTTCCCCAGTTAAACCACAGCTTTCCTAGGCTAAAAATACGTACTCAAAAAATTAGTATCTCAGTCATCAGGTCCCAATGCTCACAATGAGGTATGCTTTAGCAACTATAAGCAACCAAAGGCACAAAAAACAGATTCTTCCCCAGGCTTACATCGCTTTTGGCCATTTGCGAAGGTATAGGTGAACAAGTAGTTTCAGATCTTTTAAATTTCCAATAACACTTTTCACCTGTTTACTTGTAGCACATGGCTTCACCCTATACTTGCTTTACAAAGAAATATCAGATCATCAACATTCCTGTTTTTTTATATCAACCCATCTATCTGAAGATCTTTTTCCTTTAGACTCCGAAGACAGCCTGCCTCATCGCCAAAGCTAATTGCTGCCAATGCCTTAGATGCTTTTCCATGCCATTCCTCAAAGTATTTGTCAAGTGCCTATCTTTATCCTAACACCCGGCAACTCAACTCTTGAACACTCAAGTATGTCTGTGTATTATCTATAAAACAAAATAAAAACCACCCTTCTGTTGAATTCACTTTCCCTTCTTGAGACAGGGTGTGGCTGTCATCCAGGAAGCACTGGCTTGAACACCACTCACTACAGCCTTGACCACCTGGGCTTAAGCAATCCTCCTGTTGCAGCCTGTCAAGTAGCTGTGACTACAGATATGCACCACCATACCTGGCTAATTTTTGTATTTTTGTAGAGATGAGGCTTTGCCATGTTGTCCAGGCTGGTCCTGAACTACTGAGCTCAAGCGACCTGCCTGCCTTGGCTGCCAATTGGCCTTGCAAAGTGCTGGGATTACAGGCGTGAACTACTGCACCCAGCCTCCCTTCTTATGGAACTATCTCCTTTTCACTACCACTTTCCTTAACTGAAGCATCAGCTTCCTTTCTGTTACCAGTGAACTGAAGATGCCCTGTCATTACTACTGCCCTATTAAAATGATTCAAATATCAAGAATCACTGCAATCACCAAAAGAGATGATTTTTTACAAATGTGTTCTAATCCTCTCTGACTTATCAGTGACAATATTTCCACAGACTGCTTTTCCTCTTCACAGCTCAATACTCCACTTCAATTTTCATGGGTATATCAACTCCAAATTCAGTTTGGAGAGAATTCTCATACATTGATTGGTATTAACAACTGTAATTCTTAGACTCTGGCAACAGAGGAAACAGAAGAGTTACAAAATAGTGAGTTATAAAGACCATGACCAACTTTCCTCAATACTGTATCTCTAGTGTCTAGCACTGTATCTGACACTCATTCTACCCACTCCATTAGGAAGTCAATCTTAACTTTCTTCAAAATTTCCAAGATTCTGTTCATGGCGTTCTCTCTGTATTAAGCACTACTGGTTTATCTGCTAAATGACCTTTCCACCTAATGTTTTTCACTGTTTCCTTCTCCTTAAACATCTCCTAACATCGGTGTAAATCAAGCTTGTCCAACCTGCAACCCGTGGGCCACATGTGGCCCAGCATGGCTTTGAATATAGCCGAATACGAATTAGTGGACTTTCTTAAAACATTTCGAGTTTTTTTCTTTTTTGCAATTTGTTTTTCTTTTCTTGAGCTCATCAGCTGTCATTAGCATTAGTGTATTTTATGTGTAGCCTAAGACAATTCTTCCTCGAATGTGGCCCAGGGAAAACAAAAAATTAGACACCCCTGGTGTAAACTGGAGCCAAACTTCATAGTAAACTTTAGCAGGCCTTTCTAAGAAAGAAAAAAAAGATCCTCACTTAGAGGATCTACTAATAAAGCAGTTGTTACTAGAACAAAGGTATTTCTAGAAAAGGAAACTGTCAATTTTACCCAAACTGAGACACTGATGGGTTAACTCCTTCTCATGTACTGAGATCACATTATCTAATTTAAAAACAATGTTCTAATTCATTTGAACAAAAAGTAACAAACTAAAGAACTAACTTTAATAAAGGTTTATTATTTGAGAAAAGGATAGGAGGCAATTTTCACAGTGTTTCAAAGCTGTAGTTCTTATAAAAGGTTATCAGTTTGAGTGGAGATGAATACTTTTCACCCTTTATATAACAGGGGTGATGTCCAATCTTTTGGTTTCCCTGGGTCATACTGGAAGAACTATCTTGGGCCACACATAAAACATACTAAGAAAAAAAACTCATAATGTTTTAAGAAAGTTTACAAATTTGGGTTGGGCTGCATTCAAAGCCATCCTGGGCCACAGGTTGGTCAAGTTTACTTTATAAGGTTCTATAGTGTGTGTGTGTGTAAATAGATACAGGTATGTTTAGAGACAAACTATCACTCTGTTGCCCAGGCTGGAGTGCACTGGTTCAATCTAGCTCATTATAGCTTTGCACTCCTCAAAGTTCAAATAATCTATTCGATTGGCCTCCCTAGTGGCTACGATTACAGGGACACAGCCACCATGCCTGGCTAAGTTTTGAATGTTTTCTTTTTTTGGAAGGACAGAGTGTATGTTGACCGAGCTGGTCTTGAACTCCTGGCCTCAAGCAATCTGCCAGCCTTGGTTTCCAAATGGAGAGTATAGTATTAAATCCAATAGAAAATTTATATATATATATAATCCAATATAGTGAAATGGAGAGTCAGGCTTAACACAGTGTAATTATAAGCCATAACTGTACCACAGACATCATTACTCTGCTTTTCCTAAGCCATACTCTCATAAAATCACATATATTAAATATCACATTATTCAACAAAGAACAGAAGAAAGAATCCATAAATTGGCACTACCATTAATTGCTTACAGCTTCTTTTACTACTTTCCCTAACAGATATTAGAATATATAACACAAATGTAGGATATAAAATAGAAAAACACTGCAATACTGCAACATATAGTTAAGTACTCACTCAACATTATCAGTAAGTTTTTGCAAACTGCAACTTTAAGCCAAAAGATGGACAACAAAACCAGTTTTACCACAGTCTAATTGATAAAAACAAGAGTTAAGTTCCTATGGCATATTTCTGGTCACAAAAAAAAAAATCACCAAACTTCCAAATAAAGATAAAAATACTTGTAATATTAAACACTGAAATAAATGTGAGCTCTATGTACATTTAAGGAAGATTAATAAAAACAAGATAATCATTTACTTCATTATTCACTGGAGGGTTGAAAAAAGCCAGAGCCTATTCTGCCAGCTCAGGGCACAATGTGGGAAGCAACCCTGGTCAGGATGTCATTCCGTGGCATGATGCACTCACATGGATGACCTACCCACTCACACTGGGACCACTTAGCCACACCATTTCAGGTAACATGCACAGCCCTGGGATGTGGGAGGAAATCAGAGGACCTGGGAGAAAATCCACATATACATGAGAACGTGCAAACTCCACACAGGTAGTGGTCCAGGTCAGGAATCAAATTTTATTTTTTATGAATGTTACCATGAAACAATTTGAAGAAAATGACATTTGAGATCCTGCTGTACTTAGGAAATATTAAATATTTTATTTACTCAACGTACAGTTTGCAAATAATCTGTCCTTTTCCAAAAACACTCTAAAACTTCCATTAATCATCAAGACTACTTCTACTCATGATACAGAAATATTGTAACTAAAGAAACTGGGTGGAGACCCAGGGCTTGAGTTACAATGCAGAATCTGACATGATAAACACCAGGTTCAAGGACAACTACCACTTCTTCTACATGTAAATTAAGAGAGGCTTTGTGGGCTGAAGTACGATTATAAAACCGACTTGAAAAGAAACTGTACCCAAGGTTCCAAGGCACATCTTACTGCATTTGACATGTAATCTACTCATAAACTGGAATGACTGCAATAAAAATCTTTACAAGCAGCATAAATATTACAAAAGAAGTCTATACTTCAAATTGAACCCATAATTTTTGAAAGTAAAACTAATGTGGTAAGATTATTTTTTCTATCAGAAGTATGTTCAATACCCAAAGTTTTCCAAATACAAAAAACGTTGCAGTCCTATTTTAAATATAAAATCTGTAATATCAAAGTTTTTTTTTTTTTTTGGTCCTACAGTAAAAAAAGAAACCCATGCTTTTGAAATATTACCTTTTATACGTTTCCAGGACTACTACACCAAATTCAACTAGCACATCACTATACCTTAAGAAAAATTAATTCCTAAGATTAAACTAAAGAAAAAAAAGTCTGGGTTATACAGTTATTTCACACTTACGTCAAATTAAATTTAAAATTAAACTGCCATGTTGAAGTTCCTGGAGGGTATTCTCCTTGTTCATTCATAAATGTCAGTCCTAGCTGAATTATCTTTAACAAGTCTACATTACACCGCAGTAGTTGGTACTGATAGTCAGCATTGCTTCTGAATTCTCCAATGGGTCTTGCAACTACACCCGGAAATTCGGTGTCCTGTAAAACAGTTTTAAGATTCATTATGTACAAAACAGTCACAACCACAATCCACACGCACTCTTAATTCATTTTTGATGCAAATCAAAGAATCCTACAGGTGATGTTCTACACACTTATATTCAATTACAAAGTATCTTTTATCTAGAAAGAACATTACTTTTTAGAACCATAAAACTCTACAAATGTAATAGCCTTTTCTTAAATATATCCAAATTACTACTATGAGATACATATGATAAATGTAACCAAATACTTACTCTATACCCAAGAAAGGGGGGAAAATCATAAATTTGTATCTCCCAAAGGATAGGTGAAAAGAAGCTCAAAGTATTCCAACGCTAAAACATTTCTTGAAGAACTGGTTTAAAAGAGTGGAAAATGCCTGTACTTTCCAATTGCTTCTCTGAGACAAGGTTTTTCCCAACACCAAAATCCTAAGAAAAACATCGTTAGCCTCCTAATTTCTCTGGCCAAAACAATATTCTTTCTATAGTCCACAGAAAGTATACTGTCAAGAACTGCATGCCACCCACTCACTCTTGTAGGACGTTATCACTTCTCTGTTGCCACTCTTTATGATCTGAGAAAATCAATGAGTTTCCATTGGATAAGAAAATAATTTTAGTTCTAATCATGGGTAGTACACCTTTATTAAATTGTAGATTGTCTACATAGAAACATTCATATTTTAACCAATCAAACTGCTCCTCCCTAAAGTCATGCATTTGTTTATTTTTATTAAAAATACTGAGACAAAGATACAGCAGTTTAGTATTAGAATTCAAACCAGGGCTAAGAATAAAGAGTACGTATGAAGTCACTATAAAACAGTAAAGAAATCAGTATTTCTCTAAATTCAGTGCAATTGAACAGCCACTTTATTGGATACTATAAAACTCCTCTATTATGCTAAGAGTTGGGGGATGATTAAGGCATTAACCCCTTGCTTTACGGAGCTAATAATAATCTAGTGGATCCAGAAAACAGTATGGTAGCTAACAGATATACACAGTATAACGGTAAAGAAGAAAAATCATTAACTGGGTAGACATCTAGGCAGACTGAACAGCATGTGTGAAAGCAGAGTTGCTTAACAACACAGTATATTCATGGAACTCCAGTGTTAATCATGAAAACAAATTGCAGACCAATTTCACTGGCAAATTGGATTTTTTTGTTTGAGAAAGAGCTCTCTAGCTTCTGGGAGCTGATGTGTTACTATCAGCTAGGATTTGGTGTTGACAGGAGCAGACCGGGTGGCCATAGCTAGGCCCTAATGTTCTCCTGTTGCACATAATTTCACTGAAGTTCAACCTCAAATAAGGCCACTCTGTAATCCTGCCTGAAGAAGGACAAAAAAAAATAAACAATGTCAAACCACAAAATGACCAAGTATTAGCCATCCTGGCTAAATGAATGACTGTTCCTTCTCTACAGCTCTAGCCTCATTCTAGCATTCTAGTCTCTCATTTAAGACTTATTAAGATATCCAATCACAGAATTACCTCAGCTTCCTGACCACATCTGATCCACAGTAAAGCCCTGCTTCCTTAACTCCTCTCTAAGACCACCTGATGCAAGCGCAAATCCTTTCTAACACTCTCTTTCTCAAATGCCCTATGGTTCCCATGAATCCCAATGTGTTTTCCCTCACTGCAATGAGGGATAAACCCAACCTGTCAAATCGTAGGTGTATTCCTGATGGCTTCTGGCTGGATGGTAGTGACTTATTTTTCTTTTCATGGTGCAATTAACCTCTAAAAATATCAACCAAAAGGGATGAATTCAAGACTTTAAAATTTCCTTTCCTTCCTTTATATAAAGTGTTTTAAAGATTTGCTTGTGGGCATACCATAGCAACATAATTATATTTTCGGATAACTTGACGAATTTTCTTCATCTCTTCATCCAAGTTGCAAGCCCAAACTTCACAAATTCTTTGGCTATGATCTACAGTTGCTGCTGGCATAGTGAGGGCACAAAGGAGTCTAGATGCCAAGCATCAAAATGTTATACTTGATTGAAGATTTGTTTCATAAAATATTGTATTCTTTATTTATGTACCTGTCAAAATAAAAAACAACATAAAGACCAGATATTTCAAATCTGAATCACAGAATAATTAATCTGGCAGGAACCTAAGGAGTTATTTATTCAAACTTATTGACTCATTAAAAAAAAAAATCAAAGTTTAGCAAGTAACTTGTTTAAGGTCACACAGCTACTTTGTAGGAAAAAAAGAACTACAGCACAGATTTCCTGGTCCTAATATCAGTTATTTTTTAAAAGTTTTTTTTAGTGCATACATACTAATCATTTTTTATAACTTTCCACTAAAAATTTCTCGATTTCAACTAATCCCCTGCATAAAACTTTATAATGCCATACATTTCTAGACAAAAATGAAAAATCCCTTAAATACATGTGACAAGATCAGATGTTACCATGCCAAAGGTGGTGTTTGCTTTTATTCCTCATCAACAAAACATCCAAAATCCGACTTGATTACAAGATCTATTTCACTGGCATTTATTCAAACTAGACTAGCGAGGTCAAAAATGTTTGTAAATGCTCTGAGAAAAAATAATGGCAAAAGAAAATTGAATGTTCGCAGTTACAGAAGGAAAAAAGAACACAATCGAACGTCTGCATTTTAAATTGTTTTTAATTGCCTAAAAATCAGAGCATAGTCCCTGGTTACCAAAGATACAGCTCAGATTTCTGCTTTACATAGAGTTTAGGTTGACTCTTCGGCAGAGAAATTTCAAATTCTTCTGCATTTTTCATATAAATTTTTTTTAAAAAAGCATAACAAGGGTAAAAAGAGGGCCTTACGACTGTTTTCTAACCTCCGAAAAGTCAGAAATATAACTTTGGATTCTCCAAGTAAAGAAACCAAAGGAGATCCAGGACATCCCTCCTTTATATATCTACCACCCCAATAAATACACACATACGCACATAAACACAGAGACTTGGAAAGACTCTATGGTTTTACACTGCTTTCCTCCACCTCTCTCTACTGCACTCCTAAGAGCCCCGAAGAGGCACCAAAAGCCTTCTCATTACTGGAGATAGCATTTCCGTACTGCATACAGGCTCCCAGAGAAACGAGAGAACGGCACAGAGGCATTCAAATCATAGATAACTCTCTTCCCTGGCAGAGTGCCAGTGCGAAGGTGCTGATAACACTGACTGGAGGTACACTGACTCGCGAGCACTGCCGCGTGAAGGAATACGAAGAGCTGAGATCTAGGCCATCCCCCTCCACTCCCAATTTCTGTCCCGCTACGAAGCCCCAGGTACAAAGCCTTTGCGTCATCAGTACGCGCCAACCCCATGACAAACCCCCAGCCCCAGTTACCCAGCCCCCCACCCGCCGCCAGACTCCTTCCTCAGCCAGCCGCACTCCAGCTGGCGCCATGGCGCACCCTCTCAGGTTCATGGTCCCCGCCCCCTTCCTACTTCCCTAAGCCTCCCCTCCCCCCGCAGGGTTGCGGCAGATGCAAGATCTACTTGGGTCGCTGAGCTCGCGCTCCTCCTCCTCCTCCTCGCCATAGAGACAGCCCCCGGCGGCGGTGACGGTGGCGGTAGCGGCGGCGGCAGCGGATGCCCCATAGACACCTCTCGCCCAGCAAGGGGGAAAGGCGAGCCGGAGCTGCGCTGCACCGTGCTGCGCCGTCGCTTTTCGCACGTCCTTGCGGGGGCGCTAGATGATGGCGTAGTACGCAGAAGGGCGGGGATAAGGGCGGGGCACGCAGGTGACGGCGGCGCGGCTGGTGGATCGCTGGGCGATCAGGTTCCCTGACTGGCCGGCTTGGGCGTCTGTGCTGTGAATGTGTGACTGCCTGTTCTGGCCGGCAAGTTCCTCTCTCCAGCTGCCCGCTGTTCATAGCATGTTCCCCAGATCCCGGGGAGCGCAGGCAGGGCTGGCTTAGAGAAGACGCGGTCGCCAGCGCTTGGGCCACGGACTTCCCAGTCTCCTCTTCTGTCTCTGGAGAACCGCCGGGCCGAGCGGCTGGGAGAAGCAGGCCAGAGCCTTCCAGGGCCTCGGGCCCGGGGACCCAAGGAGGATGAGCTGGCTCTTTCCCCTGACCAAGAGCGCCTCCTCCTCCGCAGCTGGGTCCCCCGGTGGCCTCACCAGCCTCCAGCAACAGAAGCAGCGCCTAATCGAGTCTCTCCGGAACTCACACTCCAGGTGACTGGTCCCTGCCTCTTCACCGGAAGAAAAAGTAGGACGGGAGGGCGGGCTGCTCCTAACTACCCTTGTAGTGCTCCCCAGCAGCTCCTCCTGTGGTTTGCCTCCGTGGTTCTGGGTCACACGCTTGCTCTCCCACTCCTGTCCCCTTTTACTGTTTTCCGCCGCACCCTCCCTGCCTCCTGTCCCACCACTGCTCAGCGCGTCTGATTCGGATTTACTCATCCCTACGGACACATCGCTGCTGACTGTAATCTCTCTCACAGTCTATTTCCAGTATCCCTAGCTGTCCCGGCTTCCCCACTAATCTTTCCCTTTGCTCACCTTATTGCCGCGTCTGCAGAATTGTTAAAATACAATTGCGAAGAGTAATCTCCAGGCTTCATAAAGAATGGAAAATAGAACTGTTGCAACATCAAAGGAAAAGGAAGCCAGAGTTTTCATCAGTGAATGCTTCTCGTATCAGAGTCACGTAGTCTGTCCTGTCCTCTTTGAGTCTCTAAGATTTACCCTGTTCCAGCAGCCTCTCCCCATCTCACAGCTTCCAGTGCCTGCACATTTCTCACTTCTTTCATAGTCTTGCAACACACTCAAAAATTACCTTATGTTCATCTTGATTGTTCTGTTGTCTTCCTATGAGTTTTTCATTTTATCGTGGTCAGTTTAGAAATATATTTACAATTCATATTATTTCAACTCTTTTTACTATAAATTGGTTTCCTGCAGCCTTTTACATTGCAAAGGCCCGTGGCTTCTAACGGTTTTCAAAAATTAGAACTGCTTCTTTATATTATACGCATTTTGCAAGTATATTAACAGTTTCACACTACTTATATAAAGATGACAACGTTGTCAACATTGTTAAGTCCCTAACCCCCCCCTTTTTTTTTTTTTTTTTTTGAGACAATCTCATTCTGTTGCCGGGGCTAGAGTGCAGTGATGCGATCTCAGCTTACTGCGACCTCCACCTTCCGGGTTCAAGCAATTCTCCTGCCTCAGCCTCCCGAGTAGCTGGAATTACAGGTGCACACCACCATGCCTGGCTAATTTTTTGTGGAGATGGGCTTTCACTATATTGGTCAGGCCGGTCTAAAACTCCTGACTTCAGGTTATCCACCTGCCTCAGCCTCCCGAAATGCTGGGATTACAGGCAGGTGCCACCTCACCCAGTCCCTAACCCTTTTAAAGATATTCTGTTCATACAGTTAGAAAATACATATCCTGAGATAATGAAATTGAATAATTTATATCTAAAACGGAATAATTTTAAATTAGATAGTCTTGTTAATAGAAAAGTTCACTGCAAAATCAGTTTGGTCAAAATAAGGCCTGATGCTGGCTGAACTTCAGGTGTTTCTTGTCTCAATTGTTCTGTTTAGAACGTTCAAAAGGTGAAATTTTACTCTATTTAACAGAAAGGAATGGCAGGCTATTATTGGTGGCTTTCATTTTGGAAAATTAAGTTCACAAAGTTCTTATAAGTCAGTCTTATTCCAAATCATGTTCAGTACTGAACTTTAAGAGCTACTCTCACAAGATAGGCTTATTAAATAAGGTGACTCATTTTTAACATGTTTGTTCCCTTAGAAGTTAATACCTTGGTAGACTGGTTATGTACTGTACCAGTCCTGCTATTGCAGAAACACTTTTTGAGAACCACCCTTTTGGAATTAATTGCTTTTAAACCTTTCTATATAGTATTATGTTAAATATTTTCAATGCTGACTAATTTTTTTCTTTGAGGTTGGAGTTTAATTTTTTTAATACTCCAAAGTCTCTTGCTGCTAAGACTGATAAGTAAGGAAAGTAACTGATTCTGAAATTTCTAATTTTGGCCTCCCAAATAAAGTGAGATTCTATAGAAGGAATTGTTAACGTAAGGAGTTCTGGAATTGGCTTAAGAGGATGAATAAATACCCTGAATCGGTTGCAGAAAGGATTCATTTCATATATTATTTTTTGAACCAGAAATTTTGAACATAAGATTGATTGGACATGGTTGTATTAGATAATGTAATGTATTTTGTAGTGTTATGAACAAATAAATTTATTTTATTCTTTTAAGTTCATTTAAAAATACTTGAAGCTTTATTTGAGATATTTTACATTTACAAATTATAGTTAAATAATTCTGGAGACGTTTAAGTAGGTCATATGCTTCCAGTTTTTCAAAAAATGGCACAATCCCAGAAAAAAATGCCATTCATTTATTCTTCTTAGTCCATCCTTTTAAATGACATCTGATTTTTTTCGGCAATTTATAAAAATTATACTTTAAGTTCTAATGACATCTATTTTTAAGCTAGGAGGTAAAAATAATCTATCTGTATGGTATCTGATGTAAAGATGGAAATGGTGTGACATCTTTCCTCATCAGTCATAAGGGGGACAGCTGACACTCCTATAACAAAAGACAAGTTAAGAGAAAAGCATTAACAGATTTATTTAATCAAAGTTTTACACTGCATGGGAGCCTTCAGAAATGAAGCCCAAAGACCCAAGGAAAACTGTATTCATGATTAGCTTCAGTGAAGAATGGACAGCTGTGTAGAAATGTGATTGGACAAAAGCGTATAGTAATGGTAATAGACAGAGGTGGGGGAAATCCAGCAAGGCCTGTCTGTCCAGATTTTTTTTGGCGTCTCTGTATGGCATTCTCCTCCTCTAATGTACGGCCTGGGACCCCTGTGGAATGAGGGTCTTCAGGGCAGAAGGGAAAGTGAACTTTCTGTATTTATGTCTCTTTGTAGGGAAGAAGGGTTCTAATTTGTAATACAATACTACCTTGGGGAAGAGGAATTATGGTTTCTATGACTTCTTCAAGGGAGAAAGAAGGACAGGAGAAGATCAGAGAGAACTTTGCTTCTGAGGCTTCCAGACTTTTAATTCAAAGTACTTAGTTTGCCAAAGTGCCATATTTTGGAGTATTGTTTCTGAGTCCCAACACTGTCAGTACGTTCCCTGATTAGCTAAATTAGTGGTACAATTTACACTTAAAGATTTTTGGTCAAACAGACACTGATTGGTTATTCTAAAGGTGTGGTGTATAAAAGTTGAAAGAATTTCCCATTTTTTTATGCACTGTACAAAGAAACTTGTTACATGAGGAATATCAGTATCTTGTTACATGCTGCCTACCTCCCTCGTGTTTCATATTATGCCTTTTCTCCAAATGTAAGGTCAATAGGTGAATATCTTTTTTTGGCAATGAAGGTATCTTTTTATGTCTGTATATTTATGAAAATTCCGCTTTAACAGTCTCTTTAAGTCCCTTTCTCTAATGATTGTGAACTCCTTTTTAGTTGCCGTAAATTCTTATCTCCTCATCTTTCTCAGTCCTCTACAAAAAAATAGGTGAATTTTATGTATATTTCTTCATCTAAGTCTCACCAATATGCAGGGCAAATGAGATAACTGTCAGATGACAAGATTTAAAAAAAGTGTTGTAGCCAAAGTGTTTAAGTCAGCTGTGTAAATAGAAACTAGAAATTATGTAGACTGGGCTCAGGTAATATGTTCTATCACAGTATTGAATTTATCACCACAATTTCTGACTTTATGGGCAGGAGTAGAACGAATTCTGTTTCTTATACTTCCTGAGGAAGGTAACTTTATGGACACTTGGTTTTTTCCTCTGTGAGGCCATATACTTTGTGAAGGCTGGGATCTTTCAACCCAGCTCCACTGGGGGTAAGAATTATTTACACCAATGGTGATGGTCTCATCACTCTTCCCCCAAGTTACTGTGGAAGCAGGACTCTTGGTCATTGTGTGTTGGAGAGGAATTCTGCTGGCAAACTGCTCAAAATGTTTTCTCAATAATAGTAAGAAATGTCTGAGAAGAAGAAATGTCTCATGTTTTGGATATTGTTACGTTAGACAACTCTGATCCTCCAATTCCTATCGATAAAATCAGGAATTGTGATTCCTGTCATGCAGGATTTTTGATAACTAAATAATATATTTAAGACATTTGGAAATGTATCTGGCACACAGTAGGCATATGACAAATTACATTCCTTCTTTCCACTGGAATCAGTGTGCCTGAAACCTTTGCCTATTAGCCTGTAAGCTTCTAGCCAGCTTGTTGTTTATGGATCTCTCATAAGCCTACCTACAACTCATTTGTCTCTGGCAGGACTACTTCTGACTTTCCATTTAGGAAGCAAGTCCATTCCAGAGAGTTAGTTTCTTTACAAATGTAATGAACTCATTTTCAAAGGCTTTAGGCATGAATGCAGGTAAATAACCTAAAATATTATCTTACACACAGGAGATGTAAACTGCAGTAGTTATGTATTTTGTTCTTGTACATATCTTTAAAATAATAGTGCCATTCTCTGTAGTCTTTAAAAAATGATTTAGTATCTTCTTTTGCTGCTAGTCTCCAGATTCCATTGTTCTTTCTGATTGCCTAAATGTTTAGCCTTAAAACTTCTTGTAGTGTCATCTCTTGTGTAGTTCTCCCCCACAGCTGCTAAGCTTACCCTTTTGCTCACAACTGTAAGACTTTCTCCACCCATCTCATGGGTTTCTGAGTAAGCTTAAATTCCATGCTCTTTTTATAGAATTGACTCTAAGCTCATAAAGACTCACAAACAAACTTGGTAACACAAGAGATATTGTAATAAGAAGATATATGTGTGTGCGTTTTAACCTGTCTCATGCTATATATTTTTATGAAAAGGATCCAAGTTTACTTTCTATTTATTTTTTGAGATAGGGTCTCACTCTGTCACCCAGGTTAGAGGACAGTGGCATGATCACAGCTCACTGCAGCAGTCCTCCCACTGCACATGCCATCATGCCCAGCTAATTAATTTAATTTAATTTTTTTTTTTTTGTAGAGATGAGGTTTTACCATGTTGCCCAGACTTGTCTCTCAAACTCCTGGGCTCAAGCTCTCTGCCTGGCTTGGCCTCCCAAAGTGTTGGGATCACAGGCATGAGCTGCCACACCCAGCCTAATTTTTCTTTATTTAATAGACTTTATTTTTTAGT